GAAACGCAGACAAGGCCAAGTTGGTATCCAAGGCCATATCCCATCTGTTAGAAATAGAGGCCATAGAACCAGTACCTCGGGAACAAAGGGAAGGGGGTTTTACTCCATTCTGTTCGTGGTCCCCAAGGCCTCGGGGGGTTGGAGGGCAATATTGGATTTGAAAGGACAAAATTACTTCCTAGCCTACAGGAGGTTCAAGATGCAGTCCCTCATATCCATTCTGGCCAGCATCAGGAAGGGGGGTTTTCTCTCCTCCATAGATCTGACAGAAGCGTATCTCCACTTCCCATCCTACCCCAATACCGCAGATTCCTCCGATTTTGCTATACATACCGGCATTATCAATACAGGCTTCTACCCTTCGGCCTCTCCTCGGCCCCTCGGGTGTTCACAAAGATATTGGCAGTCTTAGCAGCCCACTTCAGACTGATGCCGGTGTGCGTGCAATGTTACCTGGACGATATAATTATCTAATCCAGTTCATTCCGTTCTGCCCAATTGGACTTACAGAACGGATACACTTCAGCAGCATGGCTTTTCAATAAATTTCAAAAAGAGCCACACGACCCCCGCTACTCGGATCCTACATCTAGGAGCGGTAATAGATTCCAACCTTTGCAAAGTTTATCTCTCCCAGGAACGCAAGGACAGGTCCCTCATTCACAAGATCCAGAGAGAGAAGGTAGTTCCACTGGTCCAGCTGTCTCAGCTGTTGGGGAAGATGGTCTCATAACTGGGAATAGTACCGTGGGCCAGACTACACTCCAGACTTCTCCAGTGGTTCCTCCTTCCCTATCATAAGCGGAACGTGAGTGCCTCCACACGGAAGGTCAGGGTCCCGCATCACACACTATTGTCACTCCAATGGTGGACGTCGTCAGCTATGAACAGGGGGTCCCTTTTCAAGGAACCTCCCAGGCTCATATTGACTACGGATGCCAGCCTGTTTGGCTGGGGCGCACACCTACAGACGCACATGGCTCATGGACAGTGGTCCCAAGCTGACCTCGCACACAACATAAATTGGCTAGAACTCAGGGCAATACACCTGGCACTTCGTCAATTCTCCACCATAGTGGCGGGAAAACACATTCTGATAATGACGGACAACGTAGCGGCCAAGGCCCATGTCAACAGGCAGGGAGGGACCCGATCGTGGTTCCTCATGCAGGAGGCTCTGGACCTGGGTCTGTGGGCCGAGTCCAACCTGGAATCCGTCAGCGCGGATCACATATCCAGGGAGGCGAATCATCAAGCCGATTCACTGATCAGGGCCACGGTCAACTTGGAGTGGCATTTGGACCCAGCCCTGTTCAGGGAAATCTGCAAGATGCTTCAGGAGCAGGCAGAGATCATCTTGGTCATTCCACATTGGCCGAGACGCCCGTGGTTTGCCGACCTTGTGGAGCTTTCCATCTCACCGCCATGGAGGATTCCTCCAGAATGCATCTCCCTCAGCCAAGGGGCCCTTCAACACCAGGATCCCCAGTGGCTCCAGTTGGCCGCCTGGCACTTGAGCGGCAGACTTTAACCAGGCAATCCTATTCGTCGAGGGTGATCTCTATAGTCCAAGCTTCCAGGCGCCCCTCTACTAATAGGATTTATGATGCGATGTGGAGGAACTTCTGCCTGTAGTGCACTAAGCACCACCTTCAGCCTCTTTCAGTGACCATTCCAAATATTCTGGACTATTTGCTGGAGGGTATGGATAGAGGGTTAACGCCTAGCACAGTGGTTCTCAACCTTTTTAATGCCGCGACCCCCAACCGGTCGTAAGTCGAGGACTACTCAACCGGTCGTAAGTCGAGGACCACTCAACTGGTGCAGCATTGTTTGCAGAATGGGACTTTTGGCGGGCTCAGCAGGGCAGAGACAGCCTGGACAATTCCTATTGGCTTTTGAAAGCCAATAGAATTAGACTCTATTCAAGAGAGTCTATTCTATTGGCTTTCAAAAGCCAATAGAATAAAAGGGAGTAGCACAGCTAAGGAAAAGGGGGAAAAAAATGGCGGACTGCGTTGTTTGGCGACCCCCGTGAAATGGTCGTTTGACCTCAAATGGGGTCCCGACCCACAGGTTGAGAACCACTGGCCTAGCACTATCTGCAGGCAGGTAGTGGTCTTCCACGGTACTTGTGACAATCTGGTCCCTTTAGCCCAGCACCCAGTGGTAAGCGCCTTCCTCAAGGGGGCAACTAATGCCAGACCACCGGCGATACTTCGATACCCCTCTTGGGACCTGTCACGGGTTCTACAGGCTCTAAGTTCAACGTCATTTGAACCCATCAGATGTTGCTCTGTAAGACTCTTTTCGCTGAAAGTTGCATTCGTGATTGCAGTCATGTCAGCCAGACATATTTCGGAGTTGGCTGCCCTTTCAGTTAGGAGTGACTTGTGCATCTTCCATGAGGACAGGGTGGTCCTTCGTTTAGATCCGTCCTTCATTCCAAAGTCAACACCTGGTTTCATACGGCCCAGGAGGTGGTACTTTCCAATTTTTGTCCCAATCCTTCCCATAGACTGGAACGGCAGTGGCATAAACTGGATGTGTGCAGGGCCCTGCGCTATTATATAAAGCAGACTTCTGCCTTCCGCAAGTCCGAGACCCTGTTCGTGTCCTTCCAGCCCTCTTCCATGGGTCAGAAGGTCTCTTCTTCGACCATTGGGAGGTGGATTAGGGAGTGCATCACCCGTGCTTATCTCTCTCAATCCCTACCGGTTCCTGGCCACATCACTGCCCACTCCACTCGCAGTGCGGCTACGTCAGCGGACTGGTCTACACAGGCATCCATTGAAGAAATCTGTAAGGTGGCAACTTGGTCCTCCCCTTCTTCCTTCATCAGGCACTATAAGTTGGACAAGTTTGCCTCTTCAGATGTTTCATTTGGCCGGAGGGTGTTGCAGCAAGGGTTTTCACCTAGTGGGACACAAGCCCAGACTGGTTCCCTCCTATAGGGACATGAGCGGCTTTGGTATGTCCCACCGGTGGATTCTCCACTCATCATGCTGGAGAAGGGGCGTTGTCTTACCTGAACGCCTTTTCTCAGCATGATGATGGAGAATCCACACGCACCCTTTAAGGGCCGTCTGGTCCTATGTTGGGTAGGAGGAGCCAACGCGTTGGACTTGGTTCACCTTGGTCGAAAACTGGATGCAGTCCAGCCCAGCGGGAGGTGTGGCAATTTTCTAGACTCAACTGAGCAAGAAGGCTGAGACAATCCATCGGTGGATTCTCCATCATCATGCTGAGAAAAGGCGTTTAGGTAAGACAATACCCTTAAAGTGCCTTCATTATAGTCAGAGCTATCAACCATTACACTGCATTAGAGTCAGAGAAACTTACAACCCTCCTGCCTTCTACACACATACACACACATAGACACACAAAAACTATTGCATGAATGAAAAATTTCTTCCAAAATCTGCTATTTCAAAGGATATACAGATGTTTCCTGGCTACTCTAGGTTGCTATTTTCCCAAAAATTGCCCTCATGCCCCCATCTGTCTCCCTACTATTTAGGTTTAGCAAGGTATTTTCCATGGGAAAGAGTGTCAGACAATGAAAGAAAAGAGAAATCCAGGAAGGACACCTGGGCCAGCTATCAGCTCAGCACATGGACACTTTTCTTACCAGCTATGAAAACTGGCCTCACCCCTAATACATGGTCTACACAAGATTTGTTTCCAAGAACTACAGGCTTTGACATTAAAAAGATTCTCCATACCTCATATAGATTAATTCAGTGAATAAAGGAAACCAAATCCAATAAATTAGTTCCTTCTAAAAATGTATCAATACAGGTAGTCCTTGACTTACAAGCTTTCATTCAGGGTCTTTTCATAGTTACAACAGCACTGAAAAAAGGGACTTACAGCAGTTCCCATGTGTCCACACAGGGAGAAATTCTGATCCTAATAATGGTTGTAAGTTAAGGACCACCTGTATTAAAGTCTGCCATTAGTTTCATATGTCCCTGAAATAAATAACTTTTTGTTCCTGAGATAAAACACCTATGATTTGACTTGAATCTATGTATGCATGTATATTTCACATTTCTGAACTACCCATCTTCCTCAATATTTTTTGCTTGTGTAGTAGAAATGCCGTAGTTCTGCCAATTTTGGAGGTATTCATAACTGCTTTAGCTGTGCTAAACAGTTAAAACAATACGGTCTCAAAAGAGAAGTTAAAAGAAAACTAAAAATGAAATAACCAATAAGCATAAGAAAAACAACTGGCAGAGGTAAAGTTTAGAAATTCAAAAGAACAATGAAATAGTTCACATTTCAAGTGATAATACTGCGCTATATTGAACATTTGGCATCAGACACTTCAGTTATTTTGTGATCCTCAGATCTGCTGGTACAATAGGGCTGTTCTTTGATATTTGGAAAAGTTTTTTCTTATGCAAAACTGCCCTTCTATACATTTAAGACAACAAAAAAGTTCTTCACTATGTAAATATTATTCTATTTTCCAATAAAGTCACCCATGGATGTTGGTTGGAAGTGGAGAAGGGAGGTGAATTGTATCAGATTTATCAAGATGCCAGCACATCTAATTCCTTTAGAGCAGGAGTCTTCAAACTTGGCCCTTTTATGATTTGTGGACTTCAACTCCCAGAATTTCTCAGCCAGCGTGCCTGGCTGAGGAATTCTGGAGTTGAAATCCACAAGTCATAAAAGGGCCAAGTTTAAAGACCCCTGCTTTAGAGGTCATTGTGATGTTATTGCATAAGTGATAAAATTCAGGCAGACAGCATTGTTTTCAGGATTCTAATGCCTTTGAGATACAGCTAGTCTGAAACATAATTTCTTTGTATAGTTCAGAATAATTTTTTGAATTGTTATGTTTAATAGTTTGTTTCACAACAACTTGCAGTGCAACTAGGTTGTGTTATTACTTTAAATCTCTAACACAGTAATGAAGTTTGGGCACTGAGAACAACATAGAACGCTGCTGCTTTGAATAATTCAGATTTCTAACAACTCCCACAAACCTTTATATTTTCTTGTTTCTATAGCTCGTGAAGGTTTGCATGTGGCTTTGTGGGTTGGTTCAAATCACAATTTTGAATTAGTTGAAAGAAAAATTCCACTTGCTTTGCATAAACTTCCATAGAGATCCTTTCATTCAGCCCATGGAATCTGGTCAAAAGGGGAAAAGAAAGCAGCTGTTTAATGCCAAATTAATCATATTATCAAGTAAAACTTTTATATTATAAATATATGTGTAGTGCAATAGCATTCCAAAATTTAGATCCAGATTTCAGTCATACTAAGAGACAAAGCTAAATTAATTTAGGAACTAATTCACACATTACAGTAATTCTTAATGGATTGCTTCCATTCCATTGATATGCAACCCTATGTTCATGATAATAGTACAAAACTTGTGGTTCATATGGCCAATATTTTACAACTGGGAAGAATTTGAGAGGTGAAAGGAGTTCTCTAAGCCTTGCCAATTTCCTCCCTTTTGCTCCTGGACTTATCTATTCTAAGTTAGTACATCATTAGCTAAAATCTCTAAAGCTACCAGGAAGCTGTTTTTAAATGTAACTCCCAGTTGCAGCAAAGTTTCCCACTCCTTGTTAACAGCTTTGGGTATACCCCAATAGTTACTTTAAAATCATGGTTAAATAGTCTAATTCTATGCAAAAACCCTGCCTAAATATGAATAGGTTTGGATCTAATCCAGTGATTCTCAACCTTTCTAATGCCGTGATCCCATAATACAGTTCCCCATTTGTGGTGACCCCCAAGTGGGTGTGGCCACCAATAAGAGGGAGTAGGACAGCTAGGGAAAAGGGAAAAAAATGGCGGACACCATTGTTTGGTGACCCCCGTGAAATGGTCATTTGACCCCAAATGGGGTCCCGACCCACAGGTTGAGAACCACTGATCTAATCTATTAGGATCTAATCCTAATTATAATGGTACAATCATTATTGTGAAAATGTCCATTTCAGCATCTCGACTTATATTTAACACAATCAGTGACATATGTTTGTATAGTAAAGAGCCTATAGTTTTCTTTTGGATTTTGTTTTAGACCCCAGCTAAGAAATTAAAAACCAGGAATTATTCTTCTTCCCCAAATGGTTTTAAACAAGAAGCCTTTAATACAACAGAAATTTCAGGGCATCACCATATTGCCACTGCTTTTTCTACCCGGTTCCCTAAAAACAGTTTGAAATTGACCTGTAATTTTATTAAAATCTGCAGAACAATATAAGAGAAGGAAGAAAAAGACAAATGGAGCCAGGAGATGAGAATGAGTTCTTGCTAATGGGAGAATATTCTGTCCGCAAAAGTTCCAGAATTGCAACATTTTAGGCAAATACATTATGACTGAATCAACAAGTTATTCATTCAGCCCAGGCAAAGCCAACACTGTAGGACTGGATGTACTTGAAGATGACTCTGAACTGAGGTAAAACCACAGTTCAATTAACCAGTTAAACTATCTGTCAAGTGCTTAAAGAACTTAACGTAGTTTACTTATATAAATCCTCATATCCTCAGTTTCTTTTGAAAAGTGTCCAAAATAGTAAACTTAAGATGTTCTGTGTTTATAATCATGACATTGAACAAACCACTGTGAACTGGTCCATATATAAACCAGTTAACTAAAATGGCTGGAATCACATCATGCACAAATAAGCGAGCATTATAATTGAGTGCAATATATGACCCCAGATACAGAAATATAAATAGGAAAATACTTTGTAAAGCCATTAATTTCTCTGATTCATCTAGCTGAAAACATGGGAAGCCCTTTTCAACTTCTTATTGCATCCATGACAGGTAGGATATAGTCAATAAATATTTCTCAAGACAAAATTAAAAGCCATATTCTTTCCTGGGGGGGGGGTGTATGTGGGAGACATCAACCTGTATAAGATCTCTCTGAATACACACATCTAAGGCATCTGAATTTACTTTACATTCTTTTACAGAATGTGCGGAAGCATGGTTGAATTAATCAAATATCCATCTTGAGCAATTTTGTAATAAACATATTTGTGAAAATGAGTGTATCTGTGAAATGAGTACCGTAAATGCCGGCGTACAAGGTGACCCGGCGTATAAGACGACCCCCGTCTTTATAGCCGGGCCGCATTCCTAGAACGTCGTCTTATACGCCGGAAACTACCAGTATTTCCGGCGTATAAGACAACTCAGCGTATGAGACGACCCCCGTCTTTGGCGCAGATTTCAGCGCTCGCGGAAGTCGCCTTATACGCCAGCATTTACAGTATATTTGTGAAAAAGTAAGTATCTTAAAAGGGAAGCAATTTTGTAGTTTACTTGCAATCCAAACAATAAATTGTAAGTAAAAGTTCTGCTCACAGAACTTTTCTTTCATAGTAAAATTTTCTACTCATTAGTGACCTCCCAACTGTACTACAATAATACTCTTTACATAAGGCTGCCCTTGAGTATCTGGAAACTTCAACTGGTGCAGAATGTAGCAGCGCAGTATTAATCTCAGCTCCATGAGTTGCATTGGTTGCCAGTTTGCTTCCAGGTTCAATTCAAGATAATAGTTCCAACTTTAGAAGTCCTTCATTGAATGAGGCTGAGTTATCTGAAGGATTGTCTCTTTCCAGTTACATCTGCCTATGCCATAAGATCGGCAGAGAAGGCATGCTGTGGGTCCTGTCTGCTAGGCAGGACCCAAGAAACAGGCCTTCTCTGCCATGGGACCCATCTTAAAGAATATTACCCCCCCCCTTTACTCTGAATTGAGGCTAGGTCTATCCCTGTTAATGTTCTAGAAATCTCTTAAGATCTGGCTATGTCAACAGACCCAGGGCTCCCAAGGGACTGGTGAAATTCTAAGATGGCTCCATCATTGTGGTTAATATTCACATTTCTTTGTATCTGGTGCTTTTGATTTATTAGAAGCACTAGATACAAGACTTTTATATTTTAATAATTATTTTTATACATTTACTGTTTTAATTAACAGTTGTACCCTGCCCAGAGTTACTTTTTATGAGATGGGCGGCTGTATAAATTTGATAGATATCAATATTCATTTACTTCTAGAAAAGATCCTTCACTTTCATTTTGCTTTTTATCAGGACAGATACAAGCTCTAAGTCTTCCTCTGATACCTTTTAACTATGGTATGCACATAATTCAGGGCTACAACTTACTGTTTTCATTCTCAGGTTTCAATGGGTATGTCTCATTTGCTTTTATTAAAAAACACTCATGTTTCTTATCCAGTGTTTCATTAAGAATGATCACTGTACTGTACCTTGGCAAATCATCAGCTTTAAAGGTTACTGGGTTAAATCGATAAATAGCCTTTGTGAGGCTGCTGTAGTGCCTGCTATCAGTGTTTCCAACACAAATGCCTGTAAAAAAAAATAATCGGTACAGTTAGTATGTTGTTTAGTTTAGTTTGTTTGTTTGCTTATCTGTTTTGTATTTTACCTTTTATGATTATATATTTTTTGAAATAAATAATGCTGTATCAATTTTAATCAGTACTATTCGTATGTGCCAAAGTTTTTATCATAAGCTTTGTCTTGGAACAATCCAGTGCTACAAGACATAAATGAATAATAGGGACAGTCTCAGTGAAGAAAATAAATGCACATGTCAACATAATCTTGAAAACAACTTATGTATGAATGGAGAGTATATAGTTCACCAGTTCCTGATAGTAATAATATTAATGAAAAACAGCTCTCAGGCATCAAAGAAAAAAAAAAAGTAAATGTTTCCAGTCATTAATAGTATTTGAAGTGTCTATGTATAAATTGAATAAAGCAGCGGAACAAAAGATGACATAGAAAAAAATGGAAACAATGTTTGAGTGGAAACAAAAGAGAAAAACACTAATGATCATGTATTTGCCACTACCTGGAGCTACACTGGCAACATCTGGGAAAACATCCAGGGTGGTCTGGCGGAAGACCCGTACAGCGAAGGTCTGGTCATCCCAGGGGCTAGTGGGGGGTGGATCAAAGGTATCCATCACTTCTATCTTCACTCTCTTATCATTAATTGTTTTGTCTAATATTTCCAGGACCTAAGAATATACCCAAAGCACAAACAAGTTAAAGCAGCCAAGATGGTTGTCATCATGATGTTAGCACAAGTTCCAGACACTCTCTCAATCCTTCATACCAGTTTCAGCCTTCCCAATAAAAATATGTAGACAGGACAGGAATCTCCTTGTTGAAATCTATTTCCAGTTATACAAAGGAACTGAAACTTCTTGCTGGGCAATTTGAATTTGGATCTTTGTGTCAAAATATATTTTATATATTTTATATGGCCTCTTTAATATATATTTCCAATATTTAAATCACATATTAAATACAGAAATATATAACAGAACACAACAATCAGGCAGAATGGTAAAGAAACTGTTGTCACCTTAATATTTGGCTTAAGCATTATTTCACCTTGCATTTTTGTCACAAACACTATAGGAAGGCCTTTTGCCTTCTAAGCACATGTTGCAATATTCAGCTATTAAAAACTGTTTGTTCCTTCCTTAACATCATAGCAGGAAGGGAAGTACATTGCATAAAAACTGCTCTCTATAAAAGTTACTTTCAGGGAATGAGAGAGACCTCTGGAAATGCTCAGGTTCCCTGATATCTCTGGATAGAGAATTCTACTTTTTCAGGCAGGGAGCAGGTTTCCCAGTAACAGTATCACTCAGGACCCATAAATTAGATGAGATGGTGAGAAAATTCCTGCAGTTACTGGAAATCTACATGGTGCTAAGGTGGAGAAGAGAATACAGTTGCTAATCACTGCCAATTATGCCCCATCTCCCCCTGCTGCAGCAGCCAGAAGAATGCCAGTAGCTGTAACATGGAATCAGCTAGCATCTCAACTACAAGAAATAGGTATTAACAGGATCAGCCCAGGTTACTTCACAGCAGTCACAGCTGCCTAAAGAGGGAGGATGCAGCACTATATCTAAATCAGGTAATCTGTTTAATGTTTCCTCAAGTAAAACTAGATGTCAGACTTTATAAGCCTGGGTCTAAATTATGACAAATTCTAAGATTAAAACAGCAAAAGCATAAAATTCCACTGCACTTCTTCATACTACCTCCTCAATGGTTTGTGATGAGTGGACGCGGAAATTCACTGTGGCATCAGCTTTTGGTGGAATAACATTTGACTAGAAAGAGAAGAAAAAAAAAAGGAGATCTAAATGAGGGTAGAAGCATCAATACAGTTCAGGTCTGTGGCAGCAACTCAAAGCAGTTTCACCTGCAGCCATAACATAGTTCCTGGTTTGTTGGCAGCATCTCTTTTAAGTTTAAAGGAGATTTGCAACTGTGGCTTACAAAAGCACTTGCTTTTGTTCTTCTTTTCTAAATGCCATTATTCCTGTTTCCCTCTATGTCACTCTATTAATGCTGAGCAAAGCTCTGCCTCTTCTTTTGCAAAAGGAGAAGTTGGCAGACATATCTGCACTTGAAAAAGATGTAGCCACATGCTATGCCAGATGGCAGTGAATAGCTTGCTTCTAAAGAATAGTAGACAGACCCACTTGTGCTTGCCCTTAACTCATTGCACAGGGAAATGTGGGTCCATCTTCAGGGAAAGAAAAATGCTGCCAATTCATGTATTACATCAATACAAATTTATGCTGGGCATGTATGTCTATGTGACCAGCAGACCCATGTTCTTAAATAATGGGTCAACCCTAAACATGGATAAAAGAGTGGATGGAGATTCAGTTTGAAAGATATGGTGATTGTTGAACCATATTTTCCTCTCCAAAAGCTCATCCCTCTCACCCTAATTTTTTTCTCTTTTGAATTCTTTTATCATAAATGAACTAACTGCAAATAAAGCAACTGTATTATGGATTAAGTTGTTTTGTAATTAAAATTACAGATAGACACATCTTTATTTCACATTTGATTGGAACAGAACAGCATTTAGAGCTATGGATCTATAATTTGGGTAACTTGTAACTAAATCCCAGTTCTACCAGCTGATGTCGCTGTTTAACTACCACAATAGCCACATTACTAAGTGATAAAACCCTACATCTTTGATATTCTATTTTCTACATGTGTGCATACAAACACAAAAATACAGTGTCACAGACATCAGACTAAGAAACCACTTCCACTGTTCAACAATCTTAACATTTCTCGAGCATAGACTGAAGTTTATTGTATATCTAAACTATTAAGGGTAAATATGACGAGCTCTTTGTAAACATGTGTATCTTATGTATATGTGTGTGTTTATTAGGACTGTACAGTACTTTGGTTTAAAAAGACAAACGGTGTTTTGGAGCATGTAGGATGTGGATGCTTCATTTTGTTTTCTGGGATTACCTGTAGGGTTGTGTTCACCTTGTGAGATATGAAAAGGAACAACACAGGGATGTCCACAGTCCCCTTTTTTTGTTTATTGTGGTTTTTGAAATATTGATTAGAGATATAAGACAAGATGAGAAGGTTGTGGAGGAGATTTTAAAAGAAAATTATAAGTTAACATTGTACTCTAACAATATTTCGCTCCCTCCCCCTATCCAGCAGTAACCACTTAGGAAAGAAGAGAGGAAGGAAGGATTAAGAAAGGAGGAACAGGGAGGAAGGCAATCCAATGTATCTTTACTGGCCCATATTCACTTGTATCCCCAAACACTCTTTATTGACCCACACTACTCCACTGCATTTTTCCCAACCCAAACAACATCTCTTAGGCCAGGGGTCTTCAAACTTGGCTCTGACTTGTGGACTTCAACTCCCAGAATTCCTTAGCCAGAGTGCCTGGCTGAGGAATTCTGGGAGTTGAAGTCCACAAGTCATAAAAGGGCCAAGTTTGAAGACCCTGTCTTAGGCATTCCCATGCACCCTACCTAATCCACACACAACACCTTTCCCTGACCCCAAATTTCATTCCCTTCGAAGTGGTGGGTCCTGGATTTTGGACGCATTCTGTAAATTAACCAGTTTGAGGTACTTTGGTTCAAAAATAGTTGCCCTCTTATGCATTGTTTCACTTAGTTAAAGGTCATGATGAGAGTTTTAGTAGCATAATAGATTATTTTTGCAGGAAGCACAATAATGCAATATCAGAAAAGTGGATGGAAATAAAGGATTTTTTTGCTGGTTCCATTTTGGTTCTGTTTAAGTATGTTAAACATTTCCATTAGCATATATACCTGTTTTGTTTTATTTTCTGACAAAAATGGTGGGAAATCTTATCTGGATTAATTTTCCTAATCAAATGTATTAAATTTATATGGTACCCATCTTGCTTTGAGAGCAACTCTGGGCAGCTTACAGTGCAAATGTTGGGTCTCTGTAGGTTACAAAAGCGGGGCAGGGGCCACCAATTGTCCCATTCAGTTTTCTTGCAACTTTTTCCAACCTACTGTCTTCCAGTAATACCTTTATTCCTGCATGAAACATGGTGATTGCAGTGGTGGTCCGAACTAAAGCATTAGTGCCAGGAGTTTGCTCAAGAAACCTGCATAAAGATTTAAAGGCAAAAGATTCTTTGGTATCCACATTAAACCAACTTTCTGTACTCTGCAAAATAGCAGCAATATTTTATATTAATTGAAGTACAGTAATTGATACAAAAAGGAGAAGAAAGAAGAATCACTTGAGTTTTATATAATCCAGTGAAGTATATTGCTTGTAGCTTCTGGTATATTTTTCATTTATTTATCCAGACCCAGCTTATTTTTACTTCCTCTGCTCTCTTTTACATAGTAAATTTTAGATTGATAACTGCTCAGGGCATAATTTTCTCACTGCTATTTCACTGAATAGCAGATACTGTTCCTCCCACAAACAGATGTGATAACGTTCTATTAATACTCCCATAATTGCCTTTTCAGAATTTGATAAAAGATCAATGCAGTTGAAGCAAGAAAGTTTTCAGATTTTTGTTGTTGTTGTTGTCTGGCAGCTTTTCAAAATAGAAGAACAGTTTTAAGAAAGGAGGAGAAAGGCAGTAAAAAAGAATACTACACAGGAAAGTACCTATTACCACCATTTCCTAATTAATTTATGCATGCAAGTTTCAAGAAAGGAACCTGATAAAGCATCTTCTTTCTTACCAGCCAACAAGAGGTCCGAAGAGCCACAGATTTGCCATGATGATATTGAGGGGGAAGCTGAACTGAATAGCAGAGAATTGGGAATGGGAAGAGAATATTAGCAAATATGTAGACTTTCTTCTACATATTTATCAACCATTCAAAAGAGCAATGATTGTACAAGTAGATACAATTACTATATATAAAAGTACAATCCAGTCCATTCTTGCTAAAGGAGGCAGTGGGCTTATGGAATTATTTTTTATAATATTCTACTAATTAAAATCTGACTTGAGTACTTGTTTTATTTGAGAAAAAAGGCAAAATACAAATTTCTTTTACATAAAATAAAAAGAAAAATAGAAAATGAATCTATGGAACAAAGGAAGTAAATAGGTAACAAATTAGGCTACTAGATGCAAGTCAAGATCCTGGTTATTACCTATATATGTACCTTGACTTACAATCACAATTAGGACTGGAATTTTAGTCATTAAGCGATGTGGTTATTAAGTGAATCTGACTAGATCTGATTTTAATCATTTTTACCATGGTTGTTAAGCAAGTCATTGTGGTCATTAAGTGACTCATGCAGTTGTTAAGTGAATCTGCCTTCCCCAATTGACTTTGCTTATTGGAAGCCAGTTGGGAAGGTCACAAATCATAGCCACATAATTGCAAGATGCTGTGACCATCATGTATCCAGCCAGTTTCCAAGCACCCTAATTGTGATCATGTGATTGCAGGGATGGAGTAATAGTTGTAATTCAAGAAAGGATCATTTTTTTCTAAGGCCATTGTAACTTTGAATCATTATCAAATAAAAGGTTGTAGGTTGTAAAATCCTTTATGGCACAGATCTGACTATCTAAGCAGCCATTGGTCCACAACTTCTGCTCATCTTATATGTTCAGATAGCATTGACATATTGCATGTCCCATCCATTAATCAATGCCACCTGATAAGACCTAGGATGATTATCCCCCTCTAAGATACATCTGTCTGCCACTCTGGCTATGATCAATAGAGCTCTGAAAACCTGGTTGTTTTCCCAGGCTTCGGGGTAAGTTGGTGACAAGTCCTGCACCTTATATTATCTTTTAATAGCTGTCTTTCTCCTGGTGATTGGAGTTGTTTTGGAAATTGTATTGTATGTATTGTATGATGATGCTGCCCAGAGTCATTTGATAATCAAATAAGTTTTTCTAGTGCTCAGTACAACAATTCATGGGAATTCTCCTAAGGTAGGCACGTCAAACTTGCGACGTCACATGATGTCGCGCAATGTATCATGACTTTTTCCCTATTGCCAGCAATGGGATGGGTGTGATTTCGGTGTGATGCATCCGGCCCGCGGGCCAGCAGTTTGACATGCCTGTCCTAGGGGGGAAAAATGCCTTAAAATGATCAATGTGTTTTATGAAAGATAAATGAAGAAAGCATGTACTGTTCAATACTCACCACTGGTACCAGTTGTTCAAACATCATGATTTCAGGTCCATGACCAAACAAATTGGGCATAGGCTGCGTTTCCAATCTATAGGAACCAAATGCAAAAAGCAAAATAAAGTACATTCAGTTGAATTATTTTGTGCCTAGGATGATATATTGCGCTAAGATGTAAATTTGTTAAATATGTTAGTTTCCTCCGTAAAACAGAAAATCAAACTATCTGTTTTCAAAAATATCCCTTAGAATGTGGAATATATAATTTATTTTTCTGAAAATATCTTCTTTCAATCTAATTATGTTGCAAAGAGATTTTTTATAATTTGAATGTAGCCATCTACCAAAGAAGGGACTCCTGGTAGTGAGACAAGCAGAAGGTATGGATCAAATCTCATGCTCTATTCCCAATATAAAATGGATTAAGATAGAGTACTCTGTGTGGTTGGTATATTTTAAATTTTTATAATATTTCTACTATTTTCCTTTTAATAATGATTTCTAAAATATTTTATAATGATTATTTTTATGGATCTGTGGTTTTTATTTGATCGTTGTACATTGCCCAGAGTCACTTTCTTTGAGATGGGCAGCTATATAAATGTGATAAATAAATAAATATATATCATGTACTGTGTTAATTAGATCATGCATAGCTTTTGATTTTGATATTGAATAGCAATGGGATTAATTGAAGAAACAACATTGAAAGAGAAAGTGGAGTAGAAAAAATATGCAATTAGTTAAGTTAATTGTTAAGTATAATTATTTGCTCAATTGCAGCAGAGTATAATAAGAAACAGCCTTAGCTGCCAATGAAGGCTAGAAGATTCTTCAGAAACAGAATTTGCCTACAACTTTTGTTCTATTCCCTATTTTGAAATGATTAGGGGAGTGGGCAGGGGAATGATAGGCAGGAAAATGAGAAGTACTATGGAAGTAAAAATAAGGAGACAAAATAAAATTAAGATTCTTTTCTAGTAACCTCTGGATGGCACAGTTGCAAAACAGTTGCAAAACTCAGATATATAACCCGCCTTACAAATTATCTGGATTGCTAGATCAGGGGTGTCAAACTGCGGGTCCATGGGAGGCCGTACCCACCCCAGCTCTGGCAATGCAAAAAAAGTTGCAATATGCTGTGACACATCACATGACGCGATGAGTTTGATACCCGTGGGCTAGATAGTTTTTAGACAAATCTATCAGGTTGTAGAATTCTATTCCAACCATTCATGACTTATTCTGATCCTGTAATTATTGCAGATATTTAACGTAGCACCTTAACAGAATAACATAGTTGGAAGGGAACTTGGAGGAATATATGTTTTACTGTAAACTGATGCATTCAGACCAGATAATTTTTTTCCCCATTAGATATGCATAGAATGATAATATGTTCCCAAGACAGACACTCACTTGTATAATGTTTCAGAAAGAATACCAATGCTGGTCCTCTTAGGGGGTGCAGAAGAATGGCCAACTTGAGATGTTACACTGAGATTTACTTCAAGTGCACCCTTTTCTGTGATACCTATTCTGATAAGTAAAGAAAAAAAAAACTTTAATGAAATTCCAGACGCAATACAGTTGGATTGTTTGTCATCTTCAAATGGAACAAACAAGAAGGTAGGTCTTACTTTTGCTGCTTTTTGGACAATTTTATGTACACCTTTTTTGCTTTGCTTAAACCATCACATACGCATCATCCAATTTACTCTGCAGTCAGATTATCTGCCTGCTGTGCAGGGCATCAGGAATTTCTGGCACTCCAGCGCAAATCCTCACCCACCTCATATTACAGAATGCATGTTCCCCTAGTTACTCTAGTCTTGTAAGAAGAGCAGCAGAAGCCAACATCTGAAGATGTAGGTCTATGTATATTACTCTATTGCTAGGGGCCACCGTGACCAGGCATTCGTATACCTGAAGTTAATCAGTTACTATATGCACAACCTGGGGAAACATGAGATACAGTACAATTTCCATAATTTCATCATTCCAGAACAAAGGTGGACAGAATATAGATAAAGTAAATTGATAGATTGCAGTTTCAGTTATTTGTGAATTGTAAGGCCTGGCTTCCAATATCCAATTGTTTAAACATGATTCTGTGAAATAGGCAAAGAATTGCATTTACTATAGCAAACTTTTGTATTTCTTTACTTACACAGCTACTGGTTTCTCTATTTTAGGGATGACTCCATCAAAAATAAAGCTTCCTTCATCAAGCACAAAAGAAAGTTGTACCCCTCTAGATTCCAGCTCAGCCACAATTTTCATTGCTCCTTTTTTGCCACCCACCTGAAAGGGAATTAGAATAACATTTTCCTAAGTCAAGTCATTGGCTAGTCTTTCAAAAGAATGCATTTATTATTATTCAGTAAAGGCTGTAAGTGATTTACTAATTATGCCTCAAACCACTGAATCTAAAGTGATTATTCAGAATCTCATTTAAAAAGCTACTATATATTTAAGCTACCTTTTCACCTATCTAAATTCTAATTGGGAGATTTTTTTAATTCAGTCTATTATTTTTATAAATGATTCAAGGCAACATATATATCTAATCCTCCTTCCTTTTCCTATTTTCTTCAGAACAACCCTGTGAGGTAAATTGGACTGAGAGAATGAGTGGCCCAAAGTCACTCAGTCAGCTTTCATGCCTAAGGAGGGACTAAGAATTCATTCTCCTGTTTCTAGCCTTGTGCCTTTAAAAAAACATTATTTTTTTAAAAAATATGGAGATTTAATTTAGACTATCAAATGCAATATTTAAAAATATCCAATATATATATATATTCTCCTTCAGCAAAACAAACTACTACTATATTGCCAAAATCTGATCAATGGGCAATAACCTTCCACTTTATTAGGACAATATACATTAAAGATATTCAGATTAACCAAATTTTTAAAAAGCAATTTATTTGGAAACTACCATTCAGTTTTTGGGGATGGCTTGTAACTCCAAAATAAATAATATAAACATGGGACTAGTTGTGAAGTTAAAAACAAACACATAAACAAATAATACCTCTTCATCATGACCAAGGCCTATATAGAAAGATCTTTGTGGTCTGTAATTTCGTCTCAGTAAAAACTCTAGAGCGTGCAGAATGCCCTGAGGATTAGAAAGAAATCTGGTTACACAGTGAGTTGTACCATATATGGTGATTAGCAAGAGTTAGACTACCAAAAAGCAGAGCTCATATAAAGACCTTAACTGTATTCACTAAAGGTTTTTGACCATTATATAGTACTAACCACCCTCCAGTGAGCATAATCCAGTGAGTTTTCTGGAGTTGGGCAGCCAATAAATGTAAATAAATAAATTTTAATTAAAATTAAAAAGATACATTTTGGCAAGAAACTTGCTGGGTCCCTACGGTTGATTACTATCCAATAGGAACCGCCTGTCCCCAGTTATCTTGTCTTTCTTCCACAATAACAGATTTTGAAGCCTTTGAAGCTGGCCAGGGATAGTATTGGAGTTAAGGAGGAAAATGTTGCTTAAAGACTGGTTAAGCCTGTCTCACTCATGAACTGGGGATGAGGTGAAGATAGCATCATCATGGGAATACAGGAAGAAGAGGTTCCTATGTTTGTGCTGTGTTAGATGTAAGTGACAGCATGTCCTAGGCAATTTTCTGCAACACCTATCTATGTGTAATTTTGCTTCCTTTTTGTTGAAAAAGATAAATTACTGTCTCAAAGACTGTGTGTGGATTTCTTTTCTTTTTTATATTTTTAACATGTTGTATGCTTGCTACCCACCATTTCTAATAATCCCTTGGGACAACTGACTCAATCATGCAATAAATGATGCTTTGTTAACATCAGAGCAAGACAGCACAATCTGTTTCAAGCCAACAACTATAATTGCCTTTGGCAGCATGCCAGAAACAACACTCCAAAAGTGATCAGAGCCAAGACAAAACTTATATTTGGTTTAAATTACATCTACTAAGTTTCATCATGTTTTTAATCATTTTTCCCTTCTGTCATATTAAAGATATCAATTTGGTGGCAAATATTGCATTTTGAAGCTTATGAATACAATGTGTCTCAGAAGAGATATCTCTTCCATCCTCAACAGAAATTTTCTGTATACCCGCAGACATGTTAGATGTGTTAGATGGACTCATATGCTATTAATCAGATAACTCATCTTGCTTGTTTCCAGCTTTTAACAAGCCTATCTAAAGGCTATTGGGACAGAAGAAGGATTCTATTGCTTTTCCCTCCAGCTTTCCAATCTGAGTTAGAGTAGTGTTGTTGTTCCTGATCATTGGAGGCCCACATTTCATTATATCCATATCAAGCATGAGTCATTTGGTTTCCATAATTGTCAGAAAGGCTGTTTTAGTCACTAATTAGCCAGAAGGTTGTAACTAGAGAACTGACCAATACTGATTAGAGCAGAGATAGGAAATTTGCAGCCCAAATATAGAATTCTTTATTGGCCAAGTGTGATTGGACACACAAGGAATTTGTCTCAGGTGCATAAGCTTTTAGTATACTTATATATCCCCCCAGGTCCATTTTTGCATGCCTCTAAAATCATACTATTCCAAGAGAGGCTCAATTTGCCATTATTTTTCATGGTGAATTGAAAGAATTCACTACCTTTAACCTTCAAATAGTTTAATTCAGTCATAAAACCCCAAACAAACAAACGAGGCAAAGGCCAGGTCCTTTGACTCTCTTTCACTACTTTTCCATCTTACCTTGTGTTTTACCAACCATCTTTTCATACAAGATGGCATGTGTGATCTGTATTGCCCTTTCAAACATCTATTTAATTTATTCTGGAAAAAATATAGTCATTTGTTCAGTGAAAGCAGGAAAAGCCACTGTAATTTCCTCTTTTTCAGTTTCAGTTTTCCAGAAGGAGCAATTGGAACTGAAGTTGAAGCAGAACCTGTACCTAAGAAATCTGTTTGAAGCTCAGCCAAACACAATTCTAAAACCAGTAAGGTGCTTTTGAAAACTATAGCATACAGAAAGAAAACTAACTGCTTCTTCCCACATTGTGTAATTGAAACCATGCTTTATCATAAATATGGTACATAAAATTTCATATACTCCTGCAACTCCTATTAGTTCTGCATCCCACCAAAATGAGATAAATTTATATACCATAACTGAGTTTTTATTATCTAGTGTTCCTCTTCCATATATAAATCCATCACGTTCCTCAGCAGAAAAGGGATCACTGACATCCCATCCATCAGGGTATGCTGGGACTACATCTATATGTGCAAGCAGCATATATGGCTGTAACTGAGGGTTAGATCCCTGGATGGTGAATAGGTGGCTGTAATCTCCGATAATTTCATGTTGAATGAATGAGGTAGAAAACACTGCAGGAAAAGCTTCAGGGAAGAGAATTAAGCAAAGTTAGTCATTGGATTCAATTTTGAAATTACTGGATAAAGAGGCCAGATTTTTAATGAATAGCATGTATAAAATAGTATACAATATATTTGGAAAATGGTCAACTGAAGTATGGAACAAAGGAATTGTTTTTGTATTTCTGTCCATGGATGAACTGTTTTTAAAGCAAATAATATAAATAAGAAAGAATTTCTCTTTCTTTTTCCTCTTTTATCCTTGGGAGGAGGGAAGAGAATAAGTATATTTTTGCAAACTCAGCAAATGTTTCCCTTGTGACCAGAACAGTAACAACATTTGCAATACAATAATCCTTCTATTTACATAGTTCCTGCATCAGCATTTACTATCTTACTTTGAGTATATACACAGCAACCTTTGGATGTTCAAAGTTCTATTCATACTGTATTTCAGAAATTGCAATAATCTAAAGTAAACCTAAAGTATTATCCTTGTGTTGTAGTTAGACAGATGAACAACACTTTGCCATCATAACAGGAGGAAGCGGAAACATAGTACAAAGAAAACCATCTAACAAAATTACAGATTAAACAAACAGGGAACCAAATTTATTTCCTAAGAAAATTTGATGCCCCGTGCCGAAGAGAAAGTGGCTTATTTAAAGCCATCTTATTGATTTTTTTGGGTTGAATTGATTTTATAACTTTGCACTTTCTGGTTTACACCATGAATTTTAGGGTGCAAGGGACAAGGTATATTGAAATAAATGGGACTTCATTTCTGTATGATACATGGTGTTTTTCTTTTCCTAAGAATGTTTATATCTGCAGGTACATATCTATATCAACATTTCAAACTTAAAACATCTTTAGGTACGGTACTTGCAAAAATACTTTTTTTCAAATGGTATCATACAAATTTTAATAACATTAGAAAGTTTTTTATAAACTCATATCATTAATCCACCAATGTCAGTCCTATGTACACTATCTTGTTCATGTGTCATACTTAAGTGTCACATGTTTGTTTAGCTTAAAATTTTATATTTATGTTATACACAAATCAAGTATTGAGTTAGAATCCTTAACTTGTATCTTAACATTGTATATTCAACAAAGTAATTAACACTGGTAACTTAGTATAGTATCTGTGCCAACCACTGATTGAAAAGGATCTCATTTTTCCCACTTACATTAATATTAAACTGGGAGTATTCACCATGAAAAATATATATTTTACTCTTTCTGTGGATCTGTGTAATTTATGACAGAATGATGTCCAATTGAGAAACAATACTAAATTATTGTTCAAATACATATTCATTTTTTAAGAATACATATTTCTTCACTGATTAAACACCTATAACATATATAATTAACCACCTATAACCACCAACCCAATTTTTGTCAATTGAAATTTATTAAATAGCCATATTTTTTCAATTTGGTACTTCAGTTCTATCAAGAAATAAAAGCAATACAATATTTATATTTTCTATGCAATCAGTAGCATTGATAGTAATAAAAACAAAAATTTAAATTTAAATACCTTTGTAAATATATGGTTCAAATTCTTCCAGGGCTGTTATATTCTGATTATCTGGTGAGAAGGAAACTGTTTGTATTCTGACAGCACCTTTTGTAAAGGATAAAGCATGTTCAGGCAAAATTTCAGAAAAATAATAGAAACAGATGAACTACTGCAGGGCTTTTCAACCAGTGGTATGACCATCCTAGAAAAGTGGTAGCGGGGGAGGGGAATGAGCTGAACCGGTGGCAGCACCGCACAAACCGGAGCAAGAGATGGCTGGAGCTGCAGGGCTGTTAGGGCTCAGCGGAAGTACCAGGATCAGCGCTTCGGGGCTGTCAGGGCTCAGCAGAAGTGCCAGGATCAGCGCCAGGCTCCAGCTGGAGCTCGGCGCTGATCCTGGTGCTTCTGCTGAGCCCAGAAGAAGTGCTGATCAGCTGGAATGTTGCAGCATCTCCAGGGTCTTGTGATTTACATTCAGATGCTTGGCAACTGATTCATATTTATGAAGGTCACAGTGTCCCAGGGTCATGGGAAGTGACCAAAACCTGCTGCAACCACCCAGCAGATGGGGGGGGGAATAAAAACCAAACACCCCCACCCCACCCCCGCTGTCAATCCTCAAGAGAAATGCTCACAAAAATGAAAATCTCGAACAGGAGGAAGAACGCCACCAGATGGGCAGGCAGGTGTCTTGCTCGGCTGTGGTTTGGGCAGCACTTTTTTCAGTGCCATTGTAACTTCAAACAGTCACTAAGCGAACTGTTGTAAGTCGAGGACTACCTGTACTTTATCACTTTTGGGGGGGGTCATCAAGTTTTTCACACCTCGCTGGTGGTACTTGGACATTGCCATATTCTAAAAATGGTACAATGGGTGAAAAGGTTGAAAAGCCCTGAACTACTGCACCCATTAAAATGTCATAAAGATATACTTATATAAGAAACTATTACTATCACTGAGTTGATTAACTGTAGTATCAATTATAAGAGGGCATTTGCAGAACTTTTATGATAATAGTGAACAATTATCATGTTAACAGCTTTATACATTAAGATGGGAGCACATTTCAGAAGTGCACAAAGTTGCCTGTGTACAAATCTTTCAGAAAGATCTACACAACATGAGGGATGAGAATTCGGTTTATTGCCATTCATGTATTTGACAGTATTTACATGGCACCCCCAATCATAGGCTCCAAAAGACTCATAATAAAATATCAAATAAATACATATTTAACTTCCCCAACATGTGCAAAATGATTTTAAAATACTTTAAAAATCCACAAGCATATGAAATGATAGAAGTACAAAGCATATAGATGTCAGAGACTACACAGCAAGTTACCACCATCTCCTTAATACACTCCCCCCCCAAAAAAAAATGCAAAAAAAGAAGGGATTTTACCAGCTTCTGAAATCTAGGGGACTTTCTAGATTTGGGGAAAATAATTCCCCCAACCATGGTTTGGGACAGCCATAGAAAAAACTTGCCTCCCTGAAACCTCATGGGAAGATAGAAACTATGCAGGAAGATTGAATGTGGAATAAATGATGTTCCCACAATAATTGGGGATCCAAGCCTCAAAAGGCTTCATAGATAGTGACTAGCATTTTGAATTCTACTTGGAAACTTGCCAGAAATTAATGCAGTTCCTGCAAAATAGGTGTCATTCTGCTGTTCCTGCAAAACAGTTGTCACTCTCTAATCTGCCTGGTTAGCAAATAGGAAACTGCATATTGTTGTCAACTGTTATTTCCAAGTAAGTGGAAGTTATAAAAGACCTCAGCTAGTTCTAGCAATGACAAACTGATAGCATGAGGCAAAATCATTGAGCACACTCCATACACATGTACCCTGATGTGGAAGGGAAGTACATTGTGATGTTACAGCACGTTTCATCACTATGTCAGCAACCTAAATAGAGCATTACATGAATGCATGGCTATCCAACTTTTTGGCTTGCCTGGGCCACAATGAGTGAAGAAAAATTGTCTTGGGCCGCATATAAAGTATGTAACGTACTAAGAATCACATAATGTTAAAAGTTTATGATCTTGTTGAGCCACATTACTAGCTGTCCAGGCCCCATGCAGCCTGCAGCCCATGGGTTGACATGCCTGTATTAAAGCATCTTCAAGATGTTAAGGGCATGAGTGACTAAAATATCTCCTTTTGGGCAAAAGTTAAAATGATAGTTTAACTCCAATAAAAAAGGGACCAAACTAAGAGTGACCGAATAATGTCTGCCTGGAAAAGCAGCTTCCCCACCCCACCTAACTTGAGGAAGGAAAGAAGAGGGGAAATGAATCCATCCATGAGGACTTCCTCAAGTCCGGCAGGGTGCAAAGCCTGCATTTTACAATAGATCAAATCATATGAACGGTGTCTTTCCCGATACATTTGTGTCTACAAACTGAATTCCTATAAGTCGTATATAAACAGAACTATTACACACCCAATAGTGATTTTATTCAAAGCGATACAGCGTAGAGCCTCCAAGACGCTAGTGTTATTCAGGGCAGAATATGAAGTTATTTTATGCATTCTGATTATGAAAGAGTATCGGTAAAGCAGGAGTTGCAGCAGAGGTAGCAGCAAACATTCCGTCCTAAGCAGCTGCTCCAGGACAGGAGATCTACATACTGTATCAAACCACTTAAGCCAGTAACAGAAGAAAACACAATTTAGTTTAACAGACAGGCTATAATTTTGCTCACTCGAACCAACAGCACTAGCTTCCTATTAAAAACAGAAAGAGAAATATTTACTTTGAAGAAATGACTGCTTTTATACTCGATTCCATCTTTGCTTTTTTTTTTTTTTTACCTTGGAGCACCTCCTTCAGTTCCTCCAACTCGCGGGAGCTAAAGGCAGCTTCCACTCGCCGCTGCCGCTCCTGTTCTTCCCGCAGCCCTATGGCCGGGCTGGAAGGTCGCGTTCCATAGGCTCGGAGGAGCATCGCGACCAGCAGAAGCAGCACTATCCCGCATAGTCCCAATCCAGCCCAGCACAAGACCCCTCGCAGCCGGGCACCGAAAATCGCCATTTTCCTGCGCCTTGGCCCAGCCGCCTTGGGAACTTTGACAGGCAGGCGCGGCTTCTAGCCAATCATTGACGGAGCAGTTAATTTATCACCGCCGCGGGAAACTTGGTTTGGTAGTTCTTGTTTGTGCAGTACAGGAGTCCCTCGGAGTTCGCGGGGGAGGGGAATCTCAATTCATTTGATTGATGGCATTTAGCAATGGCCCGTACATGATTAAGGGGCTAATAACTGTTTTAATGGCTCGTGAATGGCTCTGTCAAAGAATTGGGCTAAAGACAGCTCCCACAACGGACTACAACGCCCTGCCAAGCACCAATCTTTCATGTTGCTTAGCGATTGCAGCAGGGAATAAGTGCTGATTAACCTTGTCTGGACTTAAATTCTAGCGATCGACCTGGTTAGTACTTGCTGGGATACCACAAGCACAAGAAAAGGCCAGTGCTGCAGTCAAACTGGGAAACCGGTTGCCCTACTTGCCAAATAAAGATGCAAGGACTCCAGGAATCCAGTTTGGACTGAATGAGACTTTACTATTTATATACACTCAGCATAAGTTTTGAATCAGAAAATTTAAAAATATACTTTCATCTATATTAGACAAAATCTAGTTAATTTTTCACAATTCAATGCCTGTAACATTTTGAAGAAGTCAATCTTTATTTGCTCTAATTTCAAATTCTGTTTTATTTGACTTCAGAACCACTGGGTGCTTTTCTTGGTTAGCATTTTGATAATAAACTTTTTCATAGAATTAAACTTTGGTATATTAAGAGGCTTTTGGTTTGTGCTGTCCATATAAGGCATATGCCCTGTATATCACACACTTTACGGAATCACCCTGGTGGAAGAAAGAGTCACAACAAAAAAACTATCCAACATCAATAGTCATTTGCATCATTCACATTTTTATATAAAATTACTTTGCATTTACAAAATACAATTTTAAAAAGTATCTTTGCTTAGATTAATTAACTAGGCAAATCTGCCTGAGAGGTAGATTCTTTTTATTGTGGCATAAATTAAAAAAAATCTTAACAATGTTTGAATAATTTTAAACTACTTGAGAGGAATCAGATAATAAACTGCTGCTCTTGAATTGAGTCCTATGACTCATTTAAGAATCCTTTAATCAAAACTATGTTCAAGGCAAAACTTGAGCACTAAGAAGGTTTTAATCTAAATATTTTAATGTTATACTTAGGTGGTACGGTTTACTAAAGCTGTGCAAAGCAACGGCATTTGTGAGAGTCAAAAATATCAAGATGGCATCAATGATTATGCAATTGAAACTGCCCCTTTTAAATATACATTATCCATGCAATCTATGTAAAAAGGCTGGGCTCTGATTGTGTCATTGTGGCCACCATTTTGAATTTTTTGAACCTTTCCTGAATGCCCCAGGTACAAGCATTCTACAAATGTTTTGTGCTTTGGGAAATACCTCTTCAAATGGTTGGACAGCTTTACACTTCTATATCTTTTTCTGAACAGAATACACAGGACTGGTAATCAGGCTGAAAAATAATGGTTTCTTACAGAAATTTTATTTTTAAAAATGAAGCTAAGGTAAATTTGTTTAGTTTAGTTATTAAGAACAAAAGGCTACAATACCAAGAATAATGTGGAATTACCTTGAGATTTCTAAACACAAGTATAGTAAAAATGTTACAGGTAATCCTCGACTTATAACAGTTCATTTAGTGACTGTTCAAAGTTAACGGCACTGAAAAAGTGACTTATGACCGTTTTTCACATTTATGATCATTGCAGCATGATCAAAATTCGGATCTTGGCAATTGACTCATATTTATGACTGTTGCAGTGTATTAAGTTCATGTAATCACCTTTTGCAACCTGACAAACAAAGTCAACAGGAAGCCAGATTCACTGAACAACTGTGTTACTAACTTAACAACTGTAGTGTTTCACTTAACAACTGTGGCAAGAAAGGTCGTAAAATGGGGCAAAACTCACTTAATAAATCTCTCACTCAACAAAAATTTTAGGCTCAACTGTGGTCGTAAGTCGAGGACTACCTGTGTAAGAATAAATTATAGTATCTTTGGTTTTGCTTAATTAAACCCATGTCAAATAAGCTTAATTTTGAAAAAAATTCAAAGAACTGTAGAAATGCTCTATGTACATAGATCCTATGAAAAATACTTTCATCCTCTAAACATAAACACATTCATCAGAAGAGAGAAAAAAGATCAGAGATAGATGTGGTTTATAATGAAAAAGGCAGTATTACTTCTAGGCAATACAGTAATACATGTTGGATGATGTCCAGTACTATAATAAATACAGCCCTTGATTTGAAAAATGAGTTGGTGCATTTAGGCCACAAAAAGAAGGAATATAGCAATAAGTTGCAATGAACAAAATTAGAGGAAAACTAGACATCATCATAGTTGTGTTTAACTTTGGTGTGGATTCTATACAATGAATGCAAATGTTAGAAGCAACCCCCCCCCCCCTCCCGTAAATTGAAACTGCTGCAGTTGTGAGCACTTTATCTGGCAATCAAATATTTTCCATATTTTCCTTTGATTTCCCTCATGAGAACAATGCTGGAAAATTAATAGACAAGCATGTGTGCTACATGCATACTTATGGCTCCATAAATAAAGGATGTAAGAGGAGGAAAATATGATCCAGAAGATATTCAAGATGGATGAAATATATTCCCTGAGTTTCTTCCTTCCATCCAACTGTTTCAAGGGTCAGGTGCTCTGAGGTTCATAATCCAAGAGGAATTACAGAAGAGAATACCAGGTCCGAAAGACATTCTGTCCTCAGTGCTATAGAAGCACCCATGGCCCCTTGCCAGAAAGGCCAATTTCCTTGCCATTCAGGCACAGGGACCTTCATAAAGAAACATTATGAACAAATAATTTGTCATCACAGGAATGTTCCTGAGTTGCTCACAGCGCTGTTTGTGTTTCTGAATGAAAAATGCTTCCAAACATTTCCTAGAAAAAAAATGGAGATTTGTCTTACAAACTGATGCCAACATTATAATAATGTGGCACAAAATTACATTAGATCTGTGTTTGGACTATAGTTTATATCAGATAAACATTAGTTATAATTAAGTTATAGAATTTAATTTAACCATGACTAATTAAATATCAGATAAACTTTAGTTATAATTAAGTTATGGAATTTAATTGTGACTAATTTTTCCTTTTGATTTTAGAGAAACTAGTGTTGATTAATTCTGTTTGAATTTAACCTTTATGAATTCCTTTTTATGCTTAGATTTTATTATCTGTTTACTCAGAATTGTGTGCTGCCTTAATTTACAAATTTTAGGCAGTTTACACTACAATGCAATACAAAAGCAATTCATTATAAAATAATATAATCCCGAACAAAGTAATACAATAGTTAACATTTCAATATAACCATCATTAAATTCAGCCACAGCATGATAACATTGATTATTGGAAGGCCTTTAGGAAAACCAGTGTTTTAACTACTGCCCTAAATATTAATAGGGCCATCTTGAGTTTAGGGAAGCAAGCTGGTCCAGATGAAGGAAGAGATAGCAGGAGTTTTAAGTCCAACTCCATCTATTTCCCTTACAGTGAGTACCACTGGGGTGGGCGGATATGAATTAGAACAGAGGTCTCAGAGATATCCCTTTCTCAAGCCATGCAAGCCAGAGACATAATTACCGACCACCTTAAATTGCAATTGGAAGCAAATTAATAATGCAATTCCTGCAACAGGCTAACTGTACTAACTGAAGTTTATGAATGGTGTTCAGTACCAGACCAGGTACAACAAATTGCAACAATTCAAACACGAGGTGACTAGAGCATAAGAGGCAATAGACCAGTGATAGCGAACCTTTTAGAGACCGAGTGCCCAAAACCTGCCTCCCATCCCGTCCCCGTTCCGCCCTGCCCACTGGGCCACCCACCACCTCCACAGCCCTCCACAGATCACCCAGGCAGCCCAGCAGTGCCATGGCGGCCACGCCCTCTGGCCATGTCCCACAGCATCATCTGCGCACAACAAGGTGCAAGGGCGGAGTTTTGTCCTCAGCTACCATGTCCTTGGCTGCGCTGCTTCGTGTGGGCCATGACCAGGGGTGACTCTCCTCCAGGGAGCTGCTGGTGAGGAGGGGACCGTGGGAAGAGGTGGGGCTGGGGAGATGCTGCGTGTGCCCACAGAGAGGGCTCCAAGTGCTGCCTCTGGCACCCGTGCCATAGGTCTGCCACCATTGCAATAGACAGTACATCTGACAGAGGAATGAGTCAAATTCTTCATTTAATATCATTTTGTTCTTTTAACTGACCTCTTCCAAATTTTGAAATTCAGCACTGCTATCTTCCAGAGATTCATCCGAGACAGACACTTCAATCTGATTTGACCTCTGAGTAGGAAGAAATGGCTGGTTATTGTTTACAAAAATAATGTATGATAAAGCTTCAGAGTTTATTTTTTAGTCAAATATCAGCACAAGATTTAAAGGATTCATTTCATGTAACATACATTTCAATAAGTTCATGAATCAATAACAACCTGCCTCCAGAAGTGGTGATTGCTCCAACACTGGAAGTTTTTAAGAAGAGACTGGACAGCCATTTGTCCGAAATGGTATAGGGTTACCTGCCTGAGCAGGGGGTTGGACTTGATGACTTCCAAGGTCCCTTCCAACTTTATTATTATTATTATTATATTATTATTATTATTAAAGATGATTAACCTGAGTTAATCATAAACTATTTTATGGGCTTTTCCAGGAGCCATTGATAATGTTTCAGCCTTGTAAGACATACATTTAGCAAATTACAAATTACAAACTGTAATTATGATATGTGTGTCATTGCTTTGAGTTGCACTAAATATACTTGGTGTGAACCAGCATTTTATATCTTAACAATAGCATAGTATACAAATAATACTTTAGGGTGGTTGATATTTTAATCAGCTCTGTCATTATCTTTGTGCTTCAAATACCAGTAAAAATTTCTGGATTGTATAAGAAACAGTTGACAGGAGGTATTTTAAATGCTTAAGGAATAGAGTGAGAAAGATGTAAATGGAATTCATAGCTGGCAATCATCTTCTATTAATGTACTCACACCGAATTATTAGATATCCCATGAAAGACAAGCCCTAGAATACAAGTCCTCTGTTGTTCAAAGTTTGGGGTAACATGATTATTTCTCTAATTCTTTAATAATTTATTAAAGAAGGAACAGAGAGTGGAAATAATTATAGGTTTAAAAAAGTGAATGTCTACAACTGAATTTAGCTGCAAATATTCACATATAGCATTTAGAATTTCTTTCATATATATTATGTAGACTGAGTTTCCTAAAACATTATTGAAGTCCTATAATTCTAAGACACAAAATATAAATTCAGCTGTCTATGAAACATGAGCTTAATACTTTGCCAGCATCCAAATATTAACAAGATTGCTTGAAATGTGTACATCTCTATGGTGTAAATATATTTGATATACAGGAAAGATAAAAGCATATAACAGAATAACGGAGTTGGAAGAAACCTCTACTCCAACCCCCTGTTCAAGCAGGAGACCCTATATTATTTCAGACAAATGGTTGTTCAATGTCTTCTTAAAAACATCTAATGTTGGAGTGCCCACTTGGAGGCAGGTTGTTCCACTGATTAATTGTTCTCACTGCCAGGAAATTTTTCCTTAGTTCTAGGTGGCTTCTCGCCTTGATTAGTTTCCATCCATTGCTTCTTGTCCTGCCTTCAGGTGCTTTGGAAAATAGCTTTACTCCCTCTTATTTGTGGCAGCCCCTGAGATATCAGAACACTTCTATCATATCACCCCTCGTCCTTCTCTTCATTAAACTAGACATACTCAATTCCTGCAACCTTTCTTCATATGTTTTAGTTTCCAGTCCCTTAATAATCTTTGTTGCTCTTTGCACTCTTTCTAGAGTATCAACTTCTTTTTTATATTGTGGCGACCCAAACTGGATGCAATATTCCAAGATCCATTTCATCTTGCTGGCTGGGGAATTCTGGAAACTGGAGTCTATATATCTTAAAGTTGCTGAGTTGAGAAACACTGCAGTAGCCCCTAATCTCCATAACTGAATAAAATGTGGTGATCCTTTTTAAAATATCTCTTTTCTCTTTGTGTGTTGTGTACAACAAAGTAGATTTACTCTGAAAGCAGATTCATTTGAACATTGAAGCATTAGCTGGTGTTTCTAAATTTTAATGTGCCATTACAGACCAAACAAGCAGATGTTTATGTATATGTGGCCTTTCAAGTCAGTTTTGATTCTTGAAGACTATATAGAAAAGTCTATGCAGGTTTCTGAACAGAATTTTTTTTTTGAAGTGGTTTGCTATTGCCTTCTTAGAGCTGAAAATGACTCACTAGCCCAAAGTCACCCAGCTGGCTTTGTTTTCTGATTCCTAGCTCAAGGCCTTTAACTACTATATCAACAAATAGATGGTTTACTTCGCAGATTCACCCTGCCATTTCATATATTCAAGTTGTAAGTAGTAAGGCCATATTTGTGTGCTCTATGGTAGCAAGTCCATTTCTCATTCCAGTCAGTTTTAGGTGAGATGGTAAATGTGCTGAAATCATTGAAGGATTAAACGAATGATAATAAACTAGTTTGACCTGCTAATGAAGATACTGCTAATAGACAATCTTTTGACTTAAGTGATTACATGATACTTTGTAAGAATAAACAGAACTGGTCTTGGTTTAGCTTGAGGAGGAGGAGGAGGAGGAGGAGGAGGAGGAGGAGAACTTCTTCAATGGATTTTGTTTCCAATTTGGTTTTCACTGAATTTAAAATAAGAATTTATGTCTCTATATATGCAATAGCTAAGATATGAAGCATAATTTGTCAACTAAATAAATAACAAGCAACTATTTTCATTATATATTACATTTGATTTACACATATAGATCCATTTTATATGCTTTGTTCATTATGCTTAGGTTAGACTAACAACAATTGTGTTTCATCTTAATTTGCAGTATAATAAAGCACTGGATTTACAGGAAAAATAAGCTATTGGGTTATTTCAAAACAGTAGTATAATTAGGACTGGGCAAGTATAGCCTGTTGAATAGAATTTAATAATAGTAAAACTACAAATAGAATGGAATTCAAGTAAAAAAATAAAATAAAAGTCTCTGTTACCAAACTCATCCTGTTTTCTCATTTTAGCTGCTCAAAATCTATCTTTCCCAAATGTCTACACTTATCTTTTTCTCTTTTTAGTATTTTGACTGCTAATGTTAGCTTGGCCATGGCAACTGAATTACCAGCTACAGTTTCAGTGATCATGAGAAAAGCTGTAAAAGCATACATTATATCTTTACTGTTTTTTGAATTGTTGTTACATATCCATAAATATTTTTTAAAATTAAGATCAGAGTATAAAATGAAGTAGTCAATATAACTAAATAAATACCTCCAAATCAAGCATCTACATACCAACTGGGAAGTCATTTAACTACAGTAGGCTTCTGCAGTGACTTAATGGACTTAATGGAGTTCTTTATCTTGTTCTCTTAAACATTGTCACAATTATTTTAGTTAAAAAAAAGTTAGCATTCTTTTTAACAAAGCAAGTCACTAGCAATTATGACCACAGATTCTAGACTTCAGATTCTTGAAGAAAAGATTATTAATATAAATTTTAGTAAGATGCAGAAGTTAGAAATGTAACTACAAACAAACTAATTGAGATGAATGTAGTAAATCAAGAAAAAGAGTTGGTTGCATGTTTATTCTTCATTAGTATGTTAGCCAGGTTAATTGCTGATTCATACTCTGACAAGTTCTGGCAGAACAATGGAAATATGTATCTGCCTACATAGCTAAAAATAAGTGGTTAAAAGATATAAATAAATAAGTGAATTATTTATACCTGTTCTAGGACAGAATGACAAGTAGCTCTGCTGCTGTTCATTGTTGCAAACAAAACAGCATCATGGATGGTCACAAAGAGGTGACAAGGCTCAAGACCTCCTTCTTCAAAAACTCCACCAGTGCAAATGTCATCATACACTTGAGCTAATGAAAAAAGATAAAATTAAAATTACTGATTGCTATTGGACAAGGATTTCCAAAATCTTTTAAATAAATGGTGTTTCAATACAACTCTATTGTTGCATCAATCTGATGCTCATAGATTGAACAGGAAGCCTGAAAGAACTACACTGCCCCTACATTGTTAATGAGCTTATTGAGCATTATAGTCAAATACAGTTGATTTTACATAGCAGACAATTTTTCAGGGAACAGGAAAAACCTGTATCACTCAGGACTGGCTACATAATTTCTCTTCTTTGAAAGAAGATAAATTTTAGCTCTGGCATGACAAGTCAGCCAGCTGAGCATTTTGGAGAATTTAAAATTGTCCATCTCTATATATGTTACTTTTGGAAGTCTTGTACTATGTAAACTGCCTTTTGGCCTGATCTTTCACCTATGGTTGAGTTTAAATTCTTAAGCTATCTTGCATTTTAAAAATAACCCATACAACTCATATGTTTGTGCATGCATATTACTAGAAGGTTATCTCAAGTAGTTTGATTTCATTTCTGCTCTTTTCAGGAGTAAATTTTTTTCTTGTCGTAGATCAGTAAAGGTCTATTTAAAGTGTTTTTGTCTTGAAAAGAACCTCTGACTCAATGTAAATTTATCAGTTTTGTATTTGTTTTTAAATGCTAAAAAAAAAACAGGAGATAGCAAAATGAAACTATTGCTGGAACTGTGATTTTCCAGTCCTTGGACTATGCTATATTACATATGTAAACCCACATGTGACCTGATATACTAAGTCAGTGTTTCCCAAACTTGACAATTTTAAGGCATGAGGACTTCAACTCCCAGAATTCCACAGCCAGCAACGCTGGCTGTGGAATTCTGGGAGTTGAAGTCCACATGCCTTAAAATTGTCACGTTTGGGAAACACTGTACTAAGTGAACATTCAACTTTTGATATTTGCCACTAGAAATGGTTCTGCCTCTGGTTAAATGGAAGTCAAATGAAGTTAGATATATTGGTTTATCTCTTGACCAACAATTACCAAGCAGCTTGTTCTAGAAGCTATGCCATTAAAGTTATTAAAATATTAAGTATCCATATTTGCCTTATTCCCCATCCTTTCAATTGTTTTACTTGTCTTTCTATATTGAACTCTGAAAGCATGGATTCTTTATTAATCTGTAAATCACCCTGGGCATTTTTTAGCTCGAACAGTATCACATTTTAAATAAATAACTAATTAAGAACAAAATTCTTACCAGATATATTTGCAAGAAAGACTTTAATCCCAATCCTTTGATAGTTGGTACATAGCTACACAAGAAAACAAAATGAGAGAGATGGATTGATTTTACATAGGTTTGGCCTTAGCATTTACAAGCATTCATTTAATATTCAGGAATTATATATCATATATTAAGCTCATTTTTTTTCTTAAAAAAACCAAAGACAACACAGCACTGAATTTTCCAAAGTGCCCAGTTACTAGTGATGCAATATATAGTCTAAACCCAAATATGTAGAATGGGAATGGAAATGATAAGGCTTACTTTTATTTATAAGGTATATGTTTGAAAATGAAAATAACATTGTACTTGGTATATAGAACTGAAGCCACAATCTGCATCTCCTTATTCTGTGGCTTGCTATATACTTAGCCAGAAAGTTAAAATAACAGTATAAAAACTCATATTTTATTTACTGAAGGTGCAGTATTTGTTTTTTGTTTTATCAACAGAATGTTAATTGTTACTTTGGTTTCATAAATAATCTCCTGGCTTCTCATATGTGTTCTACAGAGACAATATCTCATTCTGACTATACTTAGTTGTCAACTTTTCTAATTTGCAGCCAGGAGTACTTGTATCAAACTTTAGTCCCGATTAACCTTATTTAAACAGGACATTTTAAAGACTGTAGCTTCAGTGAACAAGGCAGTTTCCAAGAGAACAACACACCTTTCCCAAAGCTTTTGTACCCATCAGATCCACAAAGCAAACTCCACTCATGTCAAGAATAATGGTGTGGAAATTAACAAAAGGGGGTGCTATGCTCATAGGATCAATACTGGAGGCTGGAATAATGCTGCAGTTGCTGTTCCTATGATCAGCTGTGCTTCTTTGTTCACATGAGGTATTATATGGACTTAAAGACTTCACAGATGGGTTGAAGACAATATAGGAGATGCTGTTGCCATTGGCAGCTGTCTGGTTGTTATTGGTATCTGTTGGAGAAGTACTTTCAAAATCCTTCTGGAGTTCTTGCAGAGACACGGTCTGTAACAAAGAAAAGTAGTTATTTTACAAATGTGAGCCAGGTGCTCAGAATATTTTATGTGTGATAAATATATGTGTAAATTTTTTCCCGTTCTAGGATGAAAGAAAATTCCATTTTTGCCTAGCCGTAGGAAACCTCACTTATAACCTGGATAACTGCTTAGTTACCTTGTCTTTTCTGAAGATAGATTTTAATTTGCTCGTTTTCTGTACTGCTGCTGTCACCTTTTCTTGATTTTTCACAAATTTTTTTCTGGCCAAGTAGACTTTGATGGGATCCACGCCAGTCTGTTTAGGGGATAAAGAAGTAGTTAGCTGCATTATCTTTCTACCTGGATTTTGGGGATATTTGAATCTCAACCTGGCATATAAATAAAAAAGTATTATTTTTTATGTGAAGACATAGAAAATAAAGCAGATGGCCTCTACATAATTAATTAATTTTTAATATTATATAACCCTACCAATATCTCTCTGGGAAACACTTAGGAAAATTAAGACAGAATTTTGCAGTATAAATATTTGTCCACGGACTGCTTTTCCTTTCAACAAACTTCAGCAAGCAGACATTATATTTAAAAAGTTTAATGCCATCCTTCAGTAAAAATATTTTTAGGGTGGACTAATAATAATAGTACCATTTCCCCTATAATAAAGCACTAATAAAGTATTTAAACTAAAACGTGAAGCAGTGTATAAATAAGCACATTGTAGTAATAAAAAGACTTACCGTAAGGGAAATAACAATATATTCACTTTTTATGAAAAAGATATCAGAAGTGTCAATTTGTCTCCTCTGTGTGGGTGTGCATGTGTGTGCGCACGCACGTGGGCAAACACGCACACGTGTGAGTGCACATGCATAGATGTGTGCATGTGTATGTGTAGAGAAATGATCCAGCCTTTTGTTTCCAGTTTGGATATGTTTCATTTGGATCAAAATTTCTTACCTTTGCGATAACTTTCTCCCTGAATATTTCTGAATTGGCAAAGTATAGTGGGGAGCAGTAGGTGACAATTTTAATCCCTTCTATTTCTTGAACCTACAAAACAAGAGTGACAAATTTCAATAACAGAATATTTCTTGGGACCAGCAAAATGAGTAGGAAGAAAAAGAAGTTACATTATACTTTGTCTTTTTAAAATAATAATATCAACAATAATAATGGTTATTACTTTTCAATCACAGGTTAATTAGTGCAGCAAAATAAGGGCTATATGTTTGATGCTGTATATAGTACAGATATATAACCTCTGTAGATAAAATGCTGCAATTTCAGGAGTATTTCAGATTCTGATAAATTTGTGACAGAGAATGAAACTTGGGTTTTTCCAAAGTAATTACTGCATTTTTATTTTTTTAATGTGATGAAAAAGGGAAGCTGTTTGATGCATGAAAAATAATATCAATTGTATTACAGAATTTGATTTAATTTTAAATATGGTAATTATCTTCCCTTTTCTGGTTCAGGCTGGAGCAATGAAAGTAAAGGCAAACAAAAGAGCAGAAGGGTTTTATAGTTCTGCTTGCTTTTTTCTCTTTAATAAAGTAAAATCTCATCCTATGCCATTAAATAATCCCATATCCAGGCTTCAAATAAAGATCTCTGTTTGAAAGGATGGCTTACTTTGTTGGTTTTTGGTTTACATAGCATCTGCTATAGTTCCGAATATGCTTCAGCATTATGTGCTATGTATGTAGTTATGTATTAGAGAGAAATGATTCATTTATGATGGAAAGCAATCGTGAAAGGCACACAAGAAGCAGCCACAACTTAGCCTCCATTCCTCTGGCCGCTCCTGGAAGCTGTCCACCAATGCCATAATGCCACTATAGTACATCCAATTCTTTTTTTGTTGTTTTAAAAACTTTTTGGGGGTGAATGGGTAAGTTAAAAATAGGGATGGGAGCTGAAGGCAGCCCAGAGGAAAACCACTTCCATTCTAACTTTTAAAACTATTACCAAAGCCTCTTATTTTCCAATCGCATAATGGCACGAAAAGTTTTGGTGGTGGTAGTCAACAGTGCTTTGGGCGGGGTGAAGGCAGAAAGAAAAAAGAGCTTAGGGTAGACCTTTGGTATTAAATTATCTTATTGCATTTAAACCATTTGCCCCCAAATGTGTGATATGGTCTCATGAAACCTAACATCAATCATAAATGGGTCCTCCAAATTGTGTGGTTATATAGAGAGTGGCTTGATTTTTTAATAATCCCAAACTATTCACATGAGGAACATAGGAAATCTAAGGATAAAAGAGGGACTTTTTCAATATTTTTGAAATAAGAGCCAGTAACAATAATGTTGATTCACAGATCATGAAGCCATAATATTGTTTTAGCATTTTGCCTCTCAGTTTTTAAAATATGGCTTCATTAGGAAAGGCTGCACATCATATCCAAACGAAGAAGTTTTATAGTTTAGCATTATGTAGAAACCATAATCACTCAACAAAGTCAAATCACATCAATATGGAATGAGGCTCTTTCGTTGATTCCATTACCTTGCTGTAGACTTTGGGGTTCTTGTATATATCAGTAGAAGCTACAGGGCCAAGGACAGAACCATTGCGACTGGGAAAGAAAATAATGGAACATGAATGTTAAATAACAGGTAGTTAACAGATGCAGTTTACAAAAAATATGATACACCCAGTAGTAAATGCAAAAGAGGAGGAGGATTTAAATGAATTAGGCACAGTAGTTTTACAATATGAAAGTGTGGTTGTATCTGCAGTTCTATTATTCTCCCTAGTAATAATGAAGTGAGTGGCCTAGAATTTTGGATGTACCAACCAGCACACCCAAAGACTGTTAGATTGGGAATAACAGAACTGGATTTTCAAAGAAAAGAAAATGTCAATGGTTTTCAGGAAGTTTGATTAAAAAAAGGAGAAGATTGCAGCCACAATATGACTGAAGTTCCATTGCCATTTATTTTAGATGCACTTTCAATGCAAATGAAAAGCAGTTGAACTTCAGTCACACCACTGTGGCCACCATCTTGATTATTTCTCCCAATACCCTGCGAATTCCTCTGAAAGAAGTGGAAAATATGTGTGAATCAATACATTGTCTGAAGCATCCATAAAAAAAATTCAGTTTGCTTTCCCCTTTATGATCTCATGATAAAGTTTTATAGATATATTTCAAAACACCCAAATACACTGAATTAAGAATTGAAAATGAAATAACTATTGTGGAGATAGAATGGGATGAAATTTCATGGAAGTGGATATTTATTACATGTGGAGCTGGATATTTATTACAATACTCTTGCATTCATAGTAATCACAAAGATATACCTCACAAGTAAATAATCACAGTACTTAATCACAAGTAAATAGCAAATATCACCAGTTGAGGGCAGACTAATGACAAAGAATTATCTTCTTAAAACAGTGTTTTTCAAACCTGCCAATTTCAAGATTGCGGACTTCAACTCCCAGAATTCCTCAGATAGCATGCCTAATGCAGATAGGGAAGCCAGGATCAGCATTGGCAGCATCACATGTACACTGTTCACTATTGTAAATTCCTACTGTAGAAAAGTTTCTCTCTATTGGTTTGTTTATTTACTAGGTAGTGAAATTCTCACAAAGTGGATTTTGCCATCTTAATTTCATGAATGGAAGTACTTTATAATTCTTCCATCTTCTGATGCTTTGGACTGTAGACAGGAGAAAAAAATATGTCTTGTCCTGTACCATAAACTAAACTATAGGATTTCTGTGCTGTTAGAAACCAGCACCATTTGCCTCCTAAAAATTACTTCCCTGGGAAGGAAGAGCAATGTAAAGTACAGATCCATCCAATATCTGCTTTCCTCTTCTTTCCCTACTTTTTTTCCTCCTTTTGTATGATGTCCGTTAAATAATGGATAGGAATTATTCCATTTTACCATAATCTGTCCAGAACCTAAAACATTGTGAATACTTCCTAAATGTTTGTTTACCAGAATAGCAATATTACTGCATAATCACGTACGGATACTCCATAGACCAATCATGTTTTATCTGGGGCTCAAGAGAGGCTAGTACAGCACTCAAGACTGCTTTTCAGAAGTGAAATCATGATGTGGAAAAGGTTAGTTTAGGTCAATAAATCCTGTACTTCTTACACTGAGGAATTTCCCTTGTGTAAAATGGCAGAAGTACTTTCCTATTCCATCCTTGGAATATGTTCACAGGAAAGATAGATTAGCAGTTTATTAACAGTGGGCAGTTCCTTCATGATTCATTGACATTTTGACATAAATTATGGAAAATGTCTCTACTGATGCATTAATACTCACAACTGGGTGTGGAAAACTACCACCAGGATGGAAAAACCCACTCCCACAGCGAGTCCAAAAGGCAAGCCTAGGAAGAAAGCTGATAGGAAGCTCACCACCCAAACCATCTGTGGAAAGACAGAAACACAGCAGGTTATTTCCTTGCACCGAGCTCAAGCTTGCCGAAGTGGATAAGGCGGAACATGTATTTGAAGCATACCTGCATAGCTATGGCTTATGGAGACAACACTATTGCCTCTAGATAATTCAAGATCAGGTGCTCTAGAGGCATCACTAATATATATTTGAAAACTAGAAATGCTGAAGTCAAGATTCTGGTTTTTTTTTTTTGTAAAGATCAAGATTGTAACCTTGCCCTGCATGAGAATAGCTGAAGTGCAAGACAATTTCTGTGAAGTGTTAATAAACACCAAGTCAAATTCTAAGACTACATGCAACAACCATTCTTTTCACATATTTGCTCTGCAGCAATGAGCAGTAGCATCTCTCTGTATATTATTGTAGAATAAATTTTCCCTTTCTTGAAAAATGCCCAGACAGCATCAGAAAGCACTAATATGATCTTTCCCAATTTTCCATTATACTGACCAAGCATAACCACTGTAATAGTTTCTATTTCCCAAGAGGAATGACTAGCAGAAATGTGTAACAGAAGACATTTGTGTTTGAATTTTCCTTTTTCCGTCTTTACCCTCTTTTCTCCCTGATTCTTCAAATAACAACGACGGATTAAACTCTTTCATTGCTCTTGGAATCTTTCCAGCAGAAAAGTTAAGTATCAGTGCTTTAAATCAGAGATAAGTAACTTTTTCCATTTGACCCTTTTTTTCTATTTTTAAATTTGTTCTGACCACCAAAGATTATGGGGATACTATTCAGGCAGGGGGAAACTTTTGTAATTTTGAGGGAGAATTGGATGGTTAGGGTATAAAACAAGCCGTGCAGGATATTAATCAAATTTATTTTACACATTTGTTTGCTAACACCACAGAAATGTGTGCTGATCAAAGGCAAGATTTGGTGGTGCTTTGTGGACTGCAAAAATGGGCCAGGGAAGGTTGCAGGAACCTTCGGCTAGCCTGCTTGCCTAGTTTACTTTAGATAAAAAGAATTTAGTTGGAGCGGAATTCCAAGAGTTACAGAATCAATGCCTCTGAATTTGCAGGCTGATGTGAACCATCCTCTACAATGCTAACTGAGCATAAATTTATGAAATTAAAAGGCAGGATCGCCTTTTTTTTACTAATGAAGCAATTTCTGAATGTATGTATGTATATGTAATCTAGTGCTATACAAAATATCCAACAGCAAACATTTAAAGATTTGCTTTTTCCATGATAAAAAATTTGGAACATTTTCTACTTTTGTCAATAGAATTTATTTCAATCAGCACCTGGTACTCTTATCGTTTTCTTGTTAAGGTCTTTTCTTCAATCAGTGGAAGGTCATCTATGTTCTAGTACTCAGCTCTCAGTATGTTCTAGGCCAGTGGTTCTCAACCTGTGGGTCGGGACCCCATTTGGGGTCGAATGACCATTTCACGGGGGTCACCAAACAATGTAGTCCACCATTTCCCCCCCTTTTCCTTAGCTGTGCTACTCCCTTTTATTCTATTGGCTTTTGAAAGCCAATTGAATAGAGTCTAATTCTATTGGCTTTCAAAAGCCAATAGGAATTGTCCAGGCTGTCTCTGCCCTGCTGAGCCCGCCAAAAGTCCCATTCTGCAAACGGTGCTGCACCAGTTGAGTAGTCCTCGATTACGACCGGTTGAGTAGTCCTCGACTTATGACCGGTTGGGGGTCACGGCATTAAAAAGGTTGAGAACCACTGTTCTAGGCACCCCTGGAAATCCCTGAGATCCTTTCAGGGGGTATGTGACATCAAATAAATAAATATTTTAAAATGTCTCCATTTTAATTTCTAATACAATAAATATTGATAGATATAACCTACAGAAGCCTAAGCTCTTTGGGGTCTTCAATCATTTATAAGAATATAGAGGAGTCCCTAAGCTGAAATGTTTGAGAACCACTGTTCTAGTAAATCAGTTACCTTATGGAAATTTGGGTAATTTGCTTCTAGTCTCATATCTGCTATCCATGTTCTCAGCTAAAAATCTTCCCATGTTAATTAATCCTTTTTAAGCTATGTTGATGTTTAAACTCAACATATGCAATAGGAATTCAGGTCTGAGTAATACATATACCCTAGCTTAGTTCAACTTTAATTTTTGTAATATCAGCTCAGATATACTTATTTACATCCATGCATAACTAGTTATGAAGTCACAAAAAATTCTTTTATTAGTAAGAAAAAATTGGTATCTGGTTAAATGTGTCATGCAACTTATACAATATGCCTTTTGTGAAATATAGTGCCTTTAAATAAAAAACGTGATTGAAATACTTCTCTGTGACAAGTGGATTACATTATTTTAACAAAGCTTCTGAATTTTTTTTATGATAAGATTCTAAGAGGAAATTCTGATGTATAGAATGCAAAAAATAAACACCTTTCAGTATAAATAAAATATTTTTGTAGGTTTTTGCTAATGTTTTATAAAATAGTGACTTAACTTACATGAAAAGGTATATTCCCCTTTCTCAAAATATTCTGATACTCACACAATCCAACTTGCTTTTTTTCCAGAGGTAATATGGATCAGTCAGTTGCTTGAGAGAATTCTTCAAATTTACAGCTATCAAAGCTCCTAGAACTGCCTGTGATGGAGATTCATGATGAAATGAATGACAAAATCTGCACAATTATGTAGGCAGCCCAGTGTATTGCCTGTTTATTTGTAAAGAGCTAGGAGAAGTTTATAGAAGCAACCCAAAAGAAGTATATTTGCCAAATAATGTGAAATGGAATGTGACTTAGGTCTTTCAGATATGGGCTGCAACCATCTGGGTAACCACCAGATGGCAGAAAACACTACTCTTATCTAATGTTTTAAGCCAAATGTTTTAAGCCCAAATTTGGCAGCTCTAAATATGAAATATGTCTCCTTCCACAGTACTTGATCAAAGTACTGTGTTATCATTATCACAGTCCATATTATCATATAGAACAGTACTTATGGACACAGATAACAGAATAAAGAAAAGTAGTTGCACAATCATACGCAAATATTCTTCAAATTAAGTCTCAATAAATATAAGACTTAATCCCAAGAAGTGTATGTAAATTGCTGTCCTAATATGAGGGGCACCTAGATTTTTTTTAAAAAGCTTATTAGTTTGTTATTTCCAGATCCTCTTTCCCTTAAGCAAACCCTTTCTTGAACTTAGTCACTTAGTTGCTTTCTTATGATTATATGGAAACCCACTTACAAAGGTTTCTGATCTTTCCAGTCCCCATGACCCCTAGTCTTATTGTGTTGGGATGATGAAAAAACAGTGACCCAAAATATTTGATGTGTGCATGTGTGTCAGTGTTAAATAATAACTGACTTTTTGCTGGTTGTATTTCAGCTTCCAAAATCTATAAAAAACTACTATATAAAGGAGGATGGAATTTTGGTGCAAATAATACATGAGCAAGGGGGATGTTTTGTAGTATTTCTACTAAATCTAGTTTACAGCTTTTGTCACTGATTTTTTTTTGGGGGGGGATTCCTATTTTAAAATAGAGCAGTTTAGAAATCCTTTTGCTTGAGGTGGTCCTACTTCAAAGGCAATTATAGTCAACCTAAAATCTAAAAGGCAACTTGTTTAAAAGTCAAACAACTTAGGATATTTTGCCATATAATTTGCCCTTGACCACAAGGAAAGTTACAAGTTGTTGACCACCTTGATCTTCATTCCAGTTTACAATGTCTGAAAATCATATTTACTTATTTATTTATTTATATACATGTTTGTTTTACAATATTTCTGTGCCACCCAAACATGAGATTGAGTAGCTTAGCAGTATAAAGCAGCCCTAAAGTCAAGGAGGAGAATGGAAATGTCCTAGTTTCTTGGGAAGTGGAATAGGCAGCATGCATTAAAGTTCAAATGTGTAGGAATGGGCAGATTCTGTTTGAAGCAGACAACCCAAATGAACCCAAGCCATGAAGGCCATTATACATAATAACTAGCATCTTCAATTGTACGGGAAACCTGTTAGTAACTATAGCATTGACTGAATGAGAGGTGTCTGTGAATCATCTTTTAACTGTCAGCACATGGGCCACCACATTTTCTACCATTCTTTGAAATAACTTCAAAGGCAGCCTCATGTAGACCACCCTACAGTTGTCCAACCATGAGGTATTAAGGATGTGAATCACACTAGCCAGAGCATGTAACTCTAAGAACAGCGAATTCTGGTGCGTCAACTAAAGTCAGGTGAATATTCTCCTGGTAGCATCGCCCACCTTCTATTTGAGCAGGAGGCATGAATCTAAGAGAACCCCCTGATCATGGATCTGGGTTTTTTAGGGGGGGGGGTTGTAATTTCATCCAGAGGCAAAATTGGAGCTTCTAAGAAATCAGATAATTTATGGGCAAATTGTTACTGCATCATGTAATAGTTAAACCTGAGTTTGTTTTATTCCCTAAGTTTATAGAAGTTTGGTCAAGGTGTGTTGTTGCATCTTCCATTCAGTTATTTGTTTAAGTTATTAGTATGTCAGTTCAACAGTCCTGAATTTTCCTCTAAAATTTGTAATTTGGCAATTAAACAAAAGTGCAGTTCTCCTGTTTAAATCTGTTATGAAAATGTTTTAAAAAATGAGGCAATAATTCTGATAAACATCATCTAAAAACTGATCTAGTGATTTGAATATTTACCTTTGGAAGAGGGCTAAGATAGCTCCCCAAAGACAGCATGGTTATCATTACCACCAATGCTACACAAAAACTTGCCACCTGAGAAGAGAAAAATAGCTTATTAAAAAAACTATTTGGAATTATGTCATAGTACCTTCCAGTGTAGGAATAAAAATCAGAATAACTGATGAAAGGAAGTGTCATGAAACAATGTTAGTTTCCTGTCCTAATTTATAACAATGCACATTTTAACTTGTCCTAGAAATCATTGAAATAATAGCTTCTGCTACTGCATTAAAGAAAAATCCCATTTAACTGAATGTTAAAGCAGTTCCCAGAGAATGAAAACATGTAATGATATTAGCAATTACAATAGCATTTAAAATTATATACCGTTCCATAATGCTTTACAGCATTCTCTGAGCAGTTTACAATGTCAACATATTGCCTCCAGACAACCTGGCTCCTCATTTATGACCTTGAAAGGATGGAAGGCTGAGTCAACCTTGAGCCGGTCAGAATTGAACTCTTGACTGTGGGCAGAGTGAGCCTGCAATACTGCATTCTAATGACTGTACCACCATGGCTCCATTCATATTCTCATGAATAGGAAGTGGAGTTCTTAACTTTAATTAGGATGTGGCTAAGTTATGTGTTTCTGTGTTTTGTCTTTCATTGTACAAACCACTTTTCAATGGATTGCAGTTTCCCTAATATCTCACGCCTCAATTAAACCTCAAGAAAAGACACAACAAAAAAGAACCTCAAAGATCTTTTTCAGATTAGAAGGGATGGACAACCATCGGGATTTCTGGGATTTGGGGGAAATATGGAATACCAACGTTCTCCATCACCTTGCAGCAACAAAAAAAATCAGTTTAAAAATACTAAATAAATTCTAAAGAACTCTGGGAATTAGGCTGAAAAAGAACCTTCTTTTGCAGCACAATTATTTTTAACTACATTATTCCCCCAAAAAAAGAAATGTTATGTATAAGCTAATGAAGTTGAATGAATCTCCTAGAACTATTACTGATGAAAAATACCTCATTATATAATATTTTGAATCTTGCTTGAATTTAAAACTGAGAGTGCTAAAGAAATAGCAAGTGCTAGCTGGCAAACTGGTGTGGTATAATGGAGCAGAATAATGAAGAGATGGGATTCCAAATCAGTAAGACGGTCTTAGCTGTACCACTTCATCTCCATCCTATAGTATGGGAACGGTAATACCGACCTACCTAGTACAATTAATTAAAGCAGTGATAAACATCTACAGTTTTAAATATTAATTATTAGAGCTGTCCAATACTTTGGATTTGGTTCTTTAAAAAGTGCTTTGAAAGGCATGGGTTTGTAAAGGTAGCATGTGCCTGCAACTCCTTCAAGCAGCCACATCTTTTTCTGGGTTCGCATAACACCTTTCCGGAACTGAATCTAAAGAATTGCATAGCTCTGCCATATATCACTAGCAGAATCTACTTTTCTGGGAGTTCCTCATCCTTCTGGCCACTTCTTTAAGAATGGCAGTATAAATTAAGTGATCTCTAGATCTTGCTCAAATTCAACACTCAGCAGCCCCAACCACCATGGTCAATTGTAATATGGAGGGCCAGAATTTCCCAGCTATATCTTACAAATATTCTGTATTAATCTAAACACGACTCTAGAATAATGGTTTTAGGGAGGATGCTGAGAACTTTAACTCTGTATTCCCAGAAACATCTTAAAGAGTGAAAAAATGTCTAGCATTTTTTTCACAAATAAATCTTTTCATTATGGAAATGACATGGCAAGCAAATGATAAACAACCTGAGATTTTCCACCAGCTCCATCCACAGCTAAGGTGACTGAAAGCGCACAGCAGATCACATGGATTTTAAAAAAGGATCCAAAAAAGTTACTGCAGCCCAGGGCCAACATTTCCTATGGAGACAATGGATTAGTCAGTTAAGGTTGTAGAAAACATCAAGCCGTTGTCCTTATGGTAAGTTTCTTTTGGTAACACTTCACTGGAAATAGAAATAGGTCAGTCATTAACCTAAATCTGGTTCCTCATTTGTGGGTAACATTATTTATACAAAGACTGCCCCCATTAAGTCTTCAGAATCTGCTATCCCATTGCAGGAGAATCATTCACCACAACACTCCACGAGGATTCTTTCCACTAATTCCAAAATTATCCCAGGATTCTCTGGGTCACATCAGTCACATGTTTGGAAACTTTCAAGCCAAGGCAGTACTATCTGCCAATTTAAGTCTGCCACCCAAGTGAATCATCTTTTCAGCCACTGGGGTAAGTGACAGCATGTCATGCAGAAATGGCACAGCTGGCTGTAGTGATTGCTTAAAAGGCCAACCTTGTGCAAGTTAGTGTACATGACACCTCGATGGCATTCTCAGATGACATCATTCTGAGTTACTCTTCAAAGAAGTTTGATTAATTAGACTAAAAATATTTACAAATTAAATCCCTTGAATGATTTGCTCCAGATTCCTCTCTGAGGCAAGTCAACAATTATGAAGCAATTGAATAAAGGGTAGTAATTATCAGGTTCTTACTGGCTGCCTGACAGCACAACTTTTATGTAGAGGGGTCACCTAAAACTATGACACAGGGAAGTGGAGAAATGATATTTCTTCCTAGCTTCCTCCTCCTCCAGTTTTTGTTATTTATTCAATGTAACTTACATCCTGTTCTTCTACATGTAACTTCCCAATCAACTTACTTGAAGCCAAGAAGCAGAGACAGTTAAGCTGCTCCACCCAATAGCCGTCTTTATGAGGTTGTGTTTCCTGTGAAGCAATCTGCTTTCTCAGAGTAATACATGCCATTCCCTTTTGGAGGGAATACAGTATTGAGAAAATTGTCCAATTGGCTTGCTAACTTACTATCAGTAAGAGATTGCCTTGGAAAAGGCTGAGTTACAGTGACCATTTTTGTTAATAACTTCAAATCATTTACTATCACCGTACTTTGCAGTTTTCAAATTATATAAAGAATTTTATTTACTGACATAACCAAACTGTATTGTTTATAGGAGATTACATAATCCGAGATGCTACACTATCCAATAAGTCCCACCTACCTGTCCTTCCATAAATCTAGTTGCGTCTCTCTGAGGGAGATAATAGACAGTAATCCTTGACTTTCAACTGGTTGCTTAGCAACTGTTACAATGGATACCCCCTTCCCCCAGAAACTACTTACAACCCAGTTCTGAAGTTCAGATAGCCACACCTTTCAAGGCCATGTGACTGCACTTTGGGTGCTCAGCAAGTGGCCTGCATTTACAGCCATTTGCAATGTCCTGGGTTCCCATGACCATAATTTACAATGTTTTTGCAGGAACTGGTATTTCTTTCCAGGTACCAGCAAAAAGTGGCCCATAGTGAACAATGGGTTTTGTTATGATTTTATGACTGCTGCAAAAAAGGTCATAAAATCATGTCATTCATGTGATGACCTTCTTTATAACCATCATGACATATGACTGATTCTTAGGCTCAATTATGGTAGTAAATCCAGGACTATCTATATTTAAATTTCCAGTCTTGAAAATTACCAGTTATCAAGATTACCTGATTTGGGTCCACATCATAGCCATGCTTATTCCCAAGGGTTCTGCCCATGGCTAGGTTGATCACATAGCCCACAATGGCAAGTGAAAATGCTGGGCCAATCATATATTTCCATTTGCCCACTAGTGGAAGTGTGGCAGATGGAAACCTAGAATCAAAAGAATAAATACAAGCTTAATATAAAAGCCCACACATCAGTTTGAAACTAATAAATCAGACTAGGACATTTTGTTTTTAATATGGGAACAAAATTCCATACCAAAATTACAGAAGTCCATATGGATTACATCCGGAATACACCAGATTGAAGAAGTCATTTATGAGCAAAAGTATAGCTGTCAAATGCAATATATTTAAGACTGCAGAAATATCCTCCAGGCACGAGGTTCCCCTCAAGATTCAAATGTCTCCCCCCATCCTATTGGCGTTTCAAGAGACCCTGGCTTTTATCTCAGATCTTTGGTGAACGTGATTGAGCCCTCCTTTCTTTCTTTTACTTTCTTCCTATCTGAATTTGTTCTCTCTGCCATCTTTGCTCATTTGTTTATGGTTTTCCTGTTTTAAATGTTTTTAACAATTAGTAAGTTACCCAGAGTCGTTAGGAGCTGGGTGACATTTACCAGTATGTTTGATTAATTATTAAATTATTATTATATCATTTTTTTGTTTGGTATTTTTCTGAGTTCCCTGAAAGATGTATAGCTAGAGAGGCCCTGTAAGTTTAATATTTTACAAACAATAACTAGGCATCTGCATTACTAAGGCTCAGTGTACAGTAATTGCAAAGGTAAAAGTGTCCCTGTCCAGTTGTATCTGACTCTAGGAGGCAATGCTCATCACTGATTCTTGGCCAAGGGAACCAGCATTGTCCAAAGACATTTTTAATGGTCATGTTGCCAGCATGGCTATATGCCAAAGGTGCACGAAGTGGTACCTATTTATCTACTCACATTTCCATGCTTTCAAACTGCTAGCTCGACAGGAGCTGATGCAAGGAATGAGAGCACTCCCTGTTACATGGCACTCAGGTTGTCAACTTTCCAGTTGACAACCTCAGCGTCTTTAACTGCTGAGCTATCTCACCCCTCTCAGTGTTCAGCAGCCTTAATAAAATAGCTGTAGCTATTGAGCTACACTAAACCCTTATGACTTTCTCAGTGTAGTGATATATACAGTAGGTTTTGATCCCGTAAGTAGAAATTCCATAACAATATTAATAGTTCCAGCAGAGATGGTGTATGGACATGAAAAATGTAGCATAAAAGCAGTGCATGAATTAACCAAAGAACATCCAAAGATCTATGTTTATCACAATCTTCTTGAAATTACCCAAAAAGCAATGAACTGGGAAAGAGTAGTTTATTGGATTCCCAGTATTTCCTTCGGCACAGCAATGCAGGCAGTGTAAATTTATAATTAGAGCATGATAATGAGTTGTTGCCTGCTTTACATAGCAATAATTAGTATGCACATTTTAATTATGCTATGTCTGTAATTTATTAGTGGATTGACTCATTGTCATTCAAGCCTTGCAGATATTAGCACTTTTAGTCTGCCCTACTTTCTACAAAATTCTATGTTACTCCTAAACCTAAACCTAAATTATGATAAATGCAGCCATTGGAAATTCTAAGTTAAATCTGACTTGTTTTCAAAAAGATTCATCATTTCCTTCCTGATACTGTTTTCTTAATTAGAACCATCCTCTAATTCAGGGGTCCCCAACCCCCAGTCTGTGGACCAGTATCGGGCTGCCAGCAACTGATCTGCACAAACAAGCAAAGCCCTATCTGTGGGATGCAGGCACACAAAACCACGCACCCTCCGGTCCGCAGAAAAACCTCTCTTCATGGAACCGGTCCCTGGTGCCCAAAAGGTTGGGGACCTCTGTTCTAACTCTACTATTTTTAATTCATCTTCATTTTAATTTGTGATGTTATATATACTTTAATTCTTACTCAAGAAACATCTAGCTTAGTAATGCAACAAATACAATAGCTCTAAAGAGATAGCTTTATTAGCATATTCCTATTTGGAGGGGAATAATATTTACTTACCCCATATTAATAAGTCCAACAATTGGCATGTCATATTTCTCAGGCATATTAAAACTTCCAGAAATGACCGTAGCCACAATGACCTGAAGCCAAAGCATAAAAGATTTTAGCTTAGTCAGGTCTTCTTGTGATGTTAATCAGCATTGAAACTGCATTCTTTCAGAATATAATGCATGTAATAGCTTATATGTTTGAAAGGGATTCAATTTATAATATAAATTGTTACTCAAAGTTCATGAAATGTTGTGGTGTGATCGAGAACCTCAAGCACTCTCTTTTTCAAGGTTCATAAAAGTTAATGACTTTATATGAAAGAAGAGTTAAGTTTACTTCCTCTTCTTTATTGAAAAAAGTATTTATTACCTCATCAAGACTGCCATAGTATCAATCTTTGCTCATTAGTTTCATTTTTAAAACAAGGGCTATATGAAAAATGAATAAAAATATATTGTACTAAAGCATAAATCTCTCATGTACTAATTAAAAATGACTTCTGCATATATGCTTTGCTACACCATTAAGTTGTTAACATTTCAGTCAATTCACCTAAGTAGGAAAGTAAGGAAAATTAATCTGCAAACTATAGCTTTACTGATGCAGTTTAAAAACTGCATTTGTCTTTTTTGCAACATATCATACTATGGGCTCCTACATAATACTAGTCCAAGAACATTTCACAAGTACTATTACTTGCAAATATTTGCTAACTGAGTGAAGATAGTTTCATTTTTCCCTGCTAAATTTTATTTTATGATTTCAATTCATTCATATAACCTATAACCATCCTTTTAAAAGTGAGGACATGGTAATCCAAAGATCACTGAGGGACCGAAGACAGTATTGTGGTGAGATCAACAGCTGAATGGTTTTTTTTGGCTGCTAAACTTCTCTGGATAAAGGAGAGATCATGAAATTGCCCACAGACAGCTGCTCCTCATGAGTAAAGTTTAGGAACTAAAATTTCTATGGTTGGTTTGTGAGTGGAGCAGCTGGGAGTTGAGCAATTTTCAGCTAAGCTCACAGCCTCATTGCAGCTTTATAGATACAAACTCTGCTGAACCTCATTTCTTAATCAACTTTGAAAATTGCTTTTTAATTGGTTTTCAGCTATAGAGAACCTTCTGATTAACAAGTTTGATAACATACACTGGGTAAGTTCAGTTTAAACCCAGCAAAATAAGTTTGAAAGAGAAGAGTAAAGGCAAACAACTAGGTGAAATAAGCTGCAAAAGGGTGATTATAATGTTGATTTTGGAAAGTGATAAACAGATTGGGAAGCCAGATAGATTTGAAATATGATTTTTGAAATTGGTTGTGGGATCCTTCCAAGGGAAGATGCTGTTGTTTGGAATATATGAAAGAAAACACGATAATATTGTGATTTAAACATTGGACATCATAAAGAACCAGAGATATCTAAAAATTACAATTAAAGGAGAAGAACACTTATATTTGACACATAATGGAGCAAAATACTTTAACACCTGACATATTCAAGATTATTGTGAGCAATGTATCCAGGAGTTAATCTTAAAAATGACTGCTATTATAGATAACATTTTTAAGAGATGTTGTGGAAGAAGAATAAATTTTATTGGATGTGACTGGAACTACTTTAAAAGTTGATCTGAAAATATATCATCTTATCACTGAAAGAGTGGTATGAGAAAAGATGCTACGTTGGATATACAAATGAAACTGGTTGATGTCAAAAGGATGCAAAAGTGATAAATCAAAACTTGTACAATTTTCTTATATTGAAGTACAAAAAAGAACTATTAAAATTTCAAAGGATTTTGTGAGAAGTGACCAAACAAAAATAAAAAGAAAATAAACTACAAAACATTATTTAAATGGGATTGAAGATCAAGATTGTAAAAAGTAAAGGAAGGTATCTAAAGTGGGTTTATTTGATCAAAGTTAAAATAGTTATTTTATTTCTGGTAAACCTTAACGGATTTAATGGCTGACCAGGACTGAATGACAGAGTTATATGGATCTGTTTATAGATACAAACTGAGATATGGAAGATATTTTTTTTGTTGTATTTTAAGAGAAGGAGATAAGTTGTGAGAATTGTTAACATTTGTAATGAAGAGGAAAATTATTTCTTTATATATTTCTTTTTTTCTTTGCTATGTTATTACTTTTTTGTTTTTCTGCATTTTCTATTTTTTATTCTCTCTCTTTTTAGTTTCTATTAGATTTTATCTGTTAAACTATAATGCTTACTAAATTATTTTTTAAAATCTCATCATTTTGAATTCTGTCTTTCAGAATGTTAATTACCCTACCCTCTTTTGTATTGCCTGTAAATCTGAGCAATGTTTCTTTCATCTTTTCCTTCAAATCATTAAAAATATTGAGGAATAAAAGGTGAAAGCTGGAAATGTGTAGCTCCAAGCCAATACACCTATCAAGTTTAATAAGCATATATATGAACACATCAGCTATGATTTTTGCACTATCTACATACTTGTCATGCACTCAGTCTATATTTATTTAACTGCTTAACAGTCAGGATCTCTTTATTAATATGTAAATTGGTCAAATCTTTGCTGAAATCAGGTTAAATTGTACCTAACACGTGTCCCCAATTTAATAAAGAAATACTCGGACAAAAGATCTGATTAGAGTTGCATGGTAAGACTTGATCTACCCAGATTGGTTTCTGGTAATTACTGCATTGTTCAAGGTGCTAAGAGATGAATCCTATCTGCTGTAGAATCTTTTCAGGTATCGATATAAGATTGATGGTTCTACTGTATATCTTCTTTCTGCCTCTCTTTGCATAATAGGATCATCATTTGCTCCTCTAGTCAACCAGTATGTCACAATTTTCCATATTTCTCAAATATGTAAATTTTGGCCAGATATTAGCTAGTTCCTTCAGGACCCCTGGATACAATTAATCTGACCCAGGAGATTTAAACTCCTTCAAAGAAAAGAGGAATGTTTCCATCTGGCCCAGGCTTCAGCCTTTCCCCTTCATCCTGCTCTTCAACATTTCTTGGAGGAATATAAAATACTGTAGCAGCTAAACAGATCTTCTTTTATCTTTGATACCTACATTTAGGATTTGGTGTGCTGGTATTTCTTGCTCTTCCTTCAGTGGGAGTCCTTCTTTCTGCAGTTCTTAGCATAGTTACCCACCTTAGCTCATGTGAAACTCTAGATTTCAGATATATCTCTGCCTTTCCAAACTATCTATAACTACTCTTTCTTGATGTCCTGGCTCTCTTTCCATTGTCTGCATGTGCCCTTTTCCCTCACTGAATTATTTGTAATTAAATTCCTTTAGGAACTACCATTCATCTTGAGTTTGGCTTCTGTTGGCTTCTTCTGCTATGGAATCCTTCTTATTATATGAGCTTATTAAAATCCACTTTTTCAGGTCCAAAATATATGTTTTAAAAATGCCAGTTTTGTGAAGCAGTTAAGGTCTTGCTTAGAAACCAGGGGACTGTGTGGGGCATGAAATTTGGCTGGATGATTTTGGGCCAGTCATTCCCTATCTCAGCCGAACCCACCTCACAGGATTGTTGTGGGGGGGGGGAATAGGAGAAAAGAGTGTTAGGTATCTTCACCACCTTCAGTTATACATGAAAAAGACTGAACAATAATAACAACCATAATTCTCAATTTGCGCATTGACAAAATTTCCCTATGTCAATTCAGAAGAACAATATTGCTTGAATCCACATATATACTATGAGGATACATTACTATAGCTAGGTTCTTGGGAAGAATTTGATGCAAATGAAGACCAACACCAGTACAGAGCTGGTAGCTGTGATTCCATATTATAGTATATACTACTACTATTTACACTAGAAAACAACCTTCCTTTCCCAAGTCGTTGGGAAGCACTCTGTAGGTTGATAAAAATGCCAAATCCAGTCTAAACATCTGGCTGACTGCGCATTGAATGAATAATAATACCCTAGCCTTATATAGCCACTTCCCAACATTCTTGTTGCATCTAATTTCTCACTTCAGGGATAGATGGACATTTGGTACCTTTCTTCACCTTATAAAGGACAAATTTATTAACAAATCAGGAACTTCTTGAACAACCAAGCTTGGCAGAATTTATTCCCAAACTCCTTAAGTACCCCATCTAGTTAATGCCACTTTCCATCATCCTCATCTTCTCTTTGGTTATGTGGTAACCAAACAGCAGCACAGCTTTTAATTGCTTCTTCACTTCTTTTAACCTAGTTCATTCACCTTGATTTATAGACATGAGTGCATGCTTTTAATTTAGAGTTCAACTCCTTTTCTATTTTTTTATGTTCTTTTTGTACAGATGGTGTTGTATAACCACTGTGTGTCAATCTTAGGATTACATCAGGTTTCCATTGTGGTTTTGCCTATCTGTACCTCAGTTGGTCTTCATTATATGTTTTTGCCTATCTTCACTTCAGTTGGTTTATTTCAGAGCAGTAGCGTATGGACAGTAAAGGCTCTGATGTTATGACCCATCTTTTCTTATTTTTTCTTAGTAAGTTTAATTGTCCCCAGAAAATGCAAATAAAAATCAAAGTGGAGTTGCATATAGTGCCTCCTTAACATCTAATATGATAGGAATGGGTATTCCATATTTAACAAAGTAATTAGACCATAATAATGCAATTTATAAATACACTAATTTCAAAATAGCCTACAGAGGCAAATTCCCAATATGCAAAAATCAGAATATAGTGCTAGAATCTGATGACGATCTAAGAGTTAAACAGGTAGGGTGTTTGCATGGGCTAACATAGTTGAATCTTTAGATCTCCAGATTTACGTTTGATCTGTATCTACAAGAAAAAGTTCTTACTGGGCTCTTGTTCTGAGTTTACTACCATAAGAATAATTTCCACAAAATACTCATTTTATCAGAAACTGTTTTGCTAATTATAGTTATTGAAATTATCAATTTCAATATTTTTGCTATTATTCTGTATCCATTACTGCCTTTCATACGGAACAGGGAAAATTTGGGTAAGAGGTTCCCATATTAGCAAGCAATGCTCATTTCACAGGAATGCAATTCTGGATGGATTACAAACTGAAACCAAAGACATTGTCTGCCAAAATCTGTGCATTTCCCACAGCTCTAATTACACCAATACTCCCTGGATATCAGCACGTACCAGAGACATATAAGCATCTTACTATATTTTTTTTTTAATCGTATTTCAATACTTTAGAATAAAGCTGCGTTACCTGCATGTACATTTTCTACTGAATAGTTCAAGAATGTTGAACCTGGATTCATCGAAATGTAAGTCAATCAAGATCAGCCTCCGCACGCCAATGCTTTATTTTGGATGACCAAAGTCACCCCATATCTGACAATAGTTTTCAGACTGCAATTACAACAAAGATCATGCAGGCTGGAATTCAACATATCTAGGTTGCAATGTATTTGGAATGGCTGCTTTCAATAACTAGGAGCCTCCATAAAATATAAGTGAGCAAGAGTCTACGGAATTGGTATCTCAGTAGTAATCTCATTGTCCAGTGATTTTTATTTATCTACAAAAGTTCTGAAATTATTGTATGTCTTCTTACATTGCCATATGCACTGCACTTTCACTTATAATCACATCAGCATTTCCTAAAAAGAACAACAAAAAGGCATGCTACCTCGGTCTTAAAAGTTCTCTTTTTTTTCAATTTATCTCTGCTTCTGAACAGTACCAATCTCAAGGAAAATAGTACTGGTAGGTGAATGAAAACATTTGTAACTGCTACTTACTATAATGATCTCCATGGGAATTGGGACTCGAATCTTCTTCATATATTTCATATTTAGCTCTTTCACAATGATGAGAAGCACAGAGCTGATCAAAGCAAACACCAGAGAAGCCACATTGGTTTTCGACAGATTTTTGCAAATATCAATAAAGGTCTGGAGGATTAGACAAGAAAAAGAGAGCATGAGGTTTTTCAACATGTCAACTAGGATGAAAAGTATGCTATAGTGTTTGTTAGTCAACATGTAAAGATTGGGGACCATTATTTAACCTAGAAATCTGCATTTTGCATTGGTAGCCAACACTCAAAGCAACAGAAAAAAGTGCAGTTCTGACAGTAGCCAACTCTGAGTTAATTAAAAGGTCAGTAAACAGGGCCTGAACAGACAGGATGTATTTAATCTAACCTGAACATCCTGCTGAGACTTTAGAAGAAAATTCGAGGCTCACAACAGGTAACTGAGAAACTCCAAAACTCTGTGAGGGCTTTTGCCTAATCCTTTATAATTAAAATGAACTAGAATTAATTGTAACTGTCTGTTATTTGTAAGCTCATTCCTTAATATTGCAAAAACCTTGGCATTTGGAGTCTTAAGGTTCAGGAGTTGCCCAGAAAGAGAACAGGTTCCAGGCAAAATGTTGCTTATTTGTTCTGTTGCGGTAATTTGGGAAAAATTCATATAATAAAATTGAAATTTTGGTATAAGATTTGGCAGACAATGGAATCCTATTTTTTTTCTCCTGGCTTCAGACTTTATTCTTTCTTTTATTTAAAACAACAATAACCATGCTTAAAAATAATGTTATCAACAAATATTTAAAATAATGAAAAAACATCTAAGAACAGAGAAACAAAAAGTCTCGAAAACAATTTTTGTTCAAGAGCAAAAAGTAAAATAATTGGAAGTTAATGTAAATACACTATAATACTATATTCAATATTTCCCTCAATTTTTTTAAAAAAACAGAAGTACCCTATTGTTATTGTGTTCTAAACAGTAGACACCAGATGCCATTAATACATCCTTTAAATGTTTATTCAAGACTTTGTTGCTATGTTAATTTTTCAACCAATGCATTATTAGCTACCATTGGCTCAAAGAAAATGGACTTTCCTTTTCCATTATTTTGGTATGATATACAGTATATGGTAGCTAATAACAAGCAATCAATTAATTCTTTTTAGTAAGGAATAAATATAAACAATTATACTTTTTAGAAAAATGGAAATAAAACTACATTAGTATTAGTAATTACAGACCACTGTGTCCAACTTCTTATGTAGCTTTCAGTCAACACGAGAAATTTAAATAACTATTGCTACCTTGAAAATGAATATGTATCAATTTAATGACAGCCCCCTTAAGCATCCTATTGGTTAAAGCAATAATATTTTCTTTCATAAATATTTGATTCTCATATAGTTTAGTTACTTGGGTTTTGAAGTAAGAAGAAACTATTTCATCGCCATTATTAATGATTTCGTATTATACTTCCGTTAATTCCTCTCTTTGTAGAGTGTGTTGCAGCAGTCTCCATAAGCTCTTGCTACTTTCATCAGAATTGTGGCAGCAATGTCACAATATCATGTAGCAAGCTCTGCCCTTTGGGGTATGAGTGCAACATAGGGATATATATAGAAAAGGGGAGGAGCTTGTGTTGTGATACAGATTGCATTACTCTGAAACCATCCTGCCCCCTAGCCTGCTGCTCCTACAGAGGACACTGATAAGTTGGTTCTTCCTGGGTCCATCCAGTGGGCATTTATCTTTGGGGAATAATCCATGACTATAATTCCACATTTTGTATTCCATGTACCTTGGCCTATAGTCATGCTGGCCACATGACCATGGAAGTGTCTTTGGACAATGACAGCTCTAGAACTGGACACAACTGGATGAGGGAAACCTTTTCCTTTACCTTTATATGGAAATAGGTGAAACTCCCAATTTTTGTAATTGAGTCAAAATTTCACTTAAATATTTTAAAACTGGTGAAAGTTAGAGAAGATAATTGTGGAGAATCAAAGATAAATAGAATGTAAGGAAAATGCCTTTATTTTTCCTCAATAAATCTCTATCCTTCTTTGGTTCTAATTTCTTTCTTTCTTGCCTCAATCATATGCAGCCCCTGACAAATGCCAGCTATTTGTGTGCTACTCTTGATCCCAGCGATGTACACCCAATCTTGTAAGATACAGCAGTAATCATAGTATCAGCCTCACTTACATAGACAATGGCAAAGGGTCCTGTGTAGGCTTCAATCTTCAGACCAAAAATATACTTGAGAACCGAGACGAGGATCTGTAGACCAGCTGCTGTCATGAAACCCCTAATGAAGGATTCTGAAAGGTAGATGGCTACAAAGCCGAACTGCACAAATCCCAGGCATATCTATGGACAGAGAGATGGTCAGGCATGTCAGATTACAATAATAAATAGAATTTATCAGAGAAAGAGACTGCAGATAATAAAAAATTGGCATAACAACTGTTGTGTGGAAAGTTATGCTACAGGTAGTCCTTGAATGACTTTTTTGAAGATGTAGAAGACAGGATTCCTGGGTCACACCAATTTTTAAGTGCTATGAAACATGGGAAAGAGCATGCCCATTAATTTGTGTTTCAGGTCTACTGTTCTAATGGTAAAAATCTTTGATGTATTCTCTTCTTCTTCTTCTCCTATTCCTACTATCTATTACCTACTCCTTGGTAAGCTAGGAAAAGTGGAATAGACAACATCATCACCAGTTGGATCTGTAGCTGGCTGACAAACCATACTCAACGAGTAGTCCTCAATGACACTATATCCACATGGAGAGAAGTAAGCAGTGGGGTACCACAAGGTTCCGTCTTAGACCCAGTACTCTTCAATATCTTCATAAATGATTTAGATGAGGGAATTGAAGGGGAACTCATCAAATGTTCAGATGACACCAAACTGACAGGAGTAGCCAACACCCCCAGAAGACAAACTCAGGATCCAAAAAAATCTTGACAAACTTGAACAATGGGCCCTATCCAACAAAATGAGTTTCAATGTGGAGAAAAGCAAAGTCTTACATTTAGGCAGGAAAAACCAAAGATATAAATACAGATTGGGCAAGACCTGGCTTAAAAACAGTAACTGTGAGAGGGGCCTTGGAATTCTAGTGGACGATCACTTGACCATGAGCCAGCAGTGTGCAGCAGCAACCAAAAAAGCTAATACAATCCTGGGTTGTATAAACAGAGGCATAGAATCAAGATCACGCAAAGTATTTGTATCGCTTTATAAAACCCTAGTAAGACCATACCTGGAATACTGCAGCCAATTTTGGTCACCCTATCACAAAAAAGATGTTGAGAGTTTGGAAAAAAATTCAGAGAAGAGCAACTAAGATGATCAAAGGCCTGGAGACTCAAACATACGAAGAATGGCTACAGGACTTGGGTTTGGCTAGTCTAAAGAAAAGAAGAAATAGGGGAGACATGATAGCAGTGTGCCTGTATCTGAGGGGCTACCACAAGGCAGAGGGAGGCTGGTTTTTCATCAAAGCACCAGAGGGAAGGACAAGAAACAATGGTTGGCAACTGATCAAAGAGAGAAGCAACCTGGAATTAAGGAGAAAATTCATGACAGTGAGGACAATCAACCATTGGAACAGCTTACCCCCAGAATTCGTGGGCGCTCCATCACTGGAGATTTTTAAGAAAAGACTAGACATTCACCTGTCTGAGATGGTATAGGTTCTCCTGCTTGAGCAGGGGGCTGGACTAGACCGCCAAGGTCCCTTTCAGCTGTATTCTATTCTATTCTATTCTATTCTATTCTATTCTATTCTATTCTATTCTATTCTATTCTATTCTATTCTATTCTATTCTATTCTATTCTATTCTATTCTATTCTATTCTATTCTTCTCCACCTCCTCCTCCACTCTTCCTCCTACTCCTACTCCTCATTATTTTTATCATCTGCCTGTCTGTCTGTGACATATAAATTGATAGATCTCCCATTATGCAGCAAGTATTAAAACTATATTTCAGCCAAGATAGGGAAGAATTCAGATTTCAATACTTCCTTAATTCTCATAAGAGGAAGCACATTGCATAAAGTACATCAAAGTATGCAGTGGAGGAATACAGATAAGGACAATAAAACTAGTGATGGGGAACATATAGATTTCCAGTTGTTGATAAACTACAACTCCTTGTATTATTTACTATTAGTCATGTTTTTGAGGGCTATTGGGAATTGTAATTTAGCATCAACTGGAGATCCATATGCATCCCACTCCGATTGCAAATCCTATTGGACATTCAGTCACTGGAATTGTAGGTCACATGGACATTTCCTATAGTTTTCTATGCAAAGAACTCTTACTTGTATTAAAGCTGTCAGACAAGCCAAGGTGGCAGAGATCTCCAGTCTGGCTGCTTCCATGGCTGTGTTGTTAACCATAATTTCCTTAGCTGTGTGGTTAAAATATTGAAATTCAGAATCCGGAGCCAGTTCATGGCAGACATTTCCTACGATAATACTGATGACTGCAAATGTACCTGTTTGGAAACACATATGAAACTTATCTTACATTTGTAAGCTGAGTACCTTCTCATATTATAACTAGTCTGTAAATAACTGGCAATCCCAAGTTTGTATAGATCAATCTTCTTCAAGCTGATGCCATCAATGTACATTAGATTTAAATCCCTTAATTAACAACCAAATGTCCTTTGAAGTACAATATATCTGGATTGCATTTAAGTTAGTAGTTATTTGGTAATTGATTACACTCAAAAGGAAGTTCTTTGACTCAGCTCTGGCTTTAATCATAATTAAGAAACCAATAATTTACAGTTGTTTCATGAAAGCATTTGAGATAGCAAACTGAGAAAAAACACCCAGATAATATAATTTCATTCACTAGGATTACATACATGTAATATATATAAATAAATATTAAACTGGAAAATGAAATCTTACCTGGGACCATCTGAGGAATACCTCCTAGCAAAAAATAGGTAATCAAAGGAAAGAAAGAAGAATAGAGCCCATTGACTGGAGGTAGGTTGGCCAGCAGAGCAAAAGCCATGCCTGAAAACAAACATGAAGAACATATCAAATCTTCCTTCCTACAATTACACTCAAGATCACATAATGCAAAAATATGACATTCTCAGCATGAAAAGATCTGCTTTCCAGGGATCATCTTGTGATGAATATTTTATGGAAGGAGCTATAGATCTATTCAGAAATGAATTATAACATGATACTATGTGGCACTATTAGTCTTTCGAGATAATTTGTCTGCTTGGTGTTTGTCTACTTGGAGCTTGTTACAGAGTTGCAATGAAAATTAGTGTATAGACTGTATGTGATTGATTGTAAATCTGTATGTTGCCCAGCCTTAATTATTGGAGGCAAAGTAACAGAACGGTGATAGATGTTGGGGTTGTGTTCTACAAAAAGCAGGATAAGGGTGAAATTACAAAAAATTAGAAGTGAATATATTTGGCATTACAAAACAATTCATATAGACCCATCCATATTACCTATATGAATCTACCCACTAATGTTTGAATAATATGGGAAAGGCAAGTTTCACCTTGAGGTACTTGAATAGTTCCAGCACTTACTCCACCAAGGACATCAGGCACAATGTAATCTCTGATTTTGTATTTTGGAAGCCATACAAGTATGGGAAATAGACTGTAAAGGATGAGTTTGAGTCTAGATGGTGAACATCTGAAAAGACATTAATAGGAGATATTTACTATGAGGTTTGTTCTGTAACATGGGAAGGCAGATGTTTATTTATTATCAGAACATGCAGCTAGAGCAAAGAGCTACCATTTCAGGTTTGTTTTCACCACCCACACAGCACTGGCATAAATCATAGAAGGCACAATGGAAAATGCCTTTCTCCTATTATTCATAATTATGCAATAGTGGTGAATATCTGTAGCTAGGGTGTTGGATGGGGGTGAAGGTTCATTCTGCGAGCTCGTGAGCTGGTTTCCAAATGTTTCAGCGGAGTTTAGGGGATGTCAGTGTCAGTGTTCTGTTTATAAGGGCTTCAGGTATGGGTGTGTCAATGACAAGATCCTCACTCGATACATCCACACCTGAAGCCCTTATAAACAGAACACTGACACTGACATCCCCTAAACTCCGTTGAAGATGTTGTTGTTGTTAATTGCGAAGTCGTATTCGACCCATCGCGACCCCATGGACAACATTCCTCCAGGTATTCGTGTCCTCTACCATCTTCTGGAGTCCATTTAAGTTCACACCTACTGTTTCATGACTCCATCCAGCCATCTCATTCTCTGTCGTCCCCTTCTTCTATTGCCCTGTTGAAGATGTTACCTAGTCTGATAACGAAACATTTTGAAATCAATCCACAAGCTCGGAGAACAAACCTTCAACTTCATTCATAATTATCATCACATTATATATATATTGCCCTGAATCCAGGTTTCATCAGATTCCAGAGGATATCATATCTGGGCTAAGTTTTGAATTGTTTTTGCATACTAAAATTTAAAACCAAATCAAAATTTAGCAAAACGATTATATCTAGGATATTACTGCGAAATTAAAGATCAATTGTTCTAATAAGATCCTATCTTACCAATTCAAGGAAGCATAGTACAACATATTCAGTAAATTAGCTAAGAGAACAAAATAGTCCTAAGTAGACTATTCAGAAATGGAACAGAAAAAAAAAATCAGTTGGATATAACAGCCCTTAGCAGCCTAGTTCTGTCAATGTTTACTTCAAAAGAAACTCAGTTACTTTAGTACAGCCTTCTACCCAGAATTTGTTGGACTGAGTCAGAACAGTAATAAGTACAGGTCTCCCAAAGCTTGGTTAGAGAGGCTTTTAGAGGCCTTATTTAATCTCACCTTTTAACCTAGAAATGCACAAATTTGAACCTAGCAAAGCACATGCTCCATTACATAGTTAGTGTTAGCATGCATAGGATTATAACTTATTCCAGTAATAATGTACTGCTCTACTACACTGATTACACACAGATAGGATCATTATAAAATCCTTTACTGTAGAGTATTTAAATTTAAGGTGTAAAGAAACAGTGATATTTCAACAGCAATGTTAATGATAGCAGTTGTAACTCTTAATTCAGTGTAAGTGCTGCATTACTATAATGGTTATGGTATAAATTAGAATAAGGGAGTAGTGGTGGAGGAAGTCTATTATTCTCCATGATTAAACTCCACACTATAAAATAGTAATCTCAATCCAGCTGCTTTAATAAATCAGTGAGGAGTTCAAGATGATTGTTTTCTTCCTTCTCTTTAATCTCATCTGTATGCAGGATAGGCTTCTAATTGACTCAGCAGCCCAACATGGCACTTCAGCAATGCTGATCAGAGTATTACAACTCACAGATAAGATACACACAATATAAGTCTGTTCACACCAATGTGATCCTATAGTTAGAGAACTAAGAGAAGTAAATCAGTTTCTGTACTAAACAAATGCCAAACTTGCATAGAAACCATTATGCACAAATCACTCCAGCGATCAATAAATATCATCAGAAAAAAGCTGAAGAAAAAACAGTTAATGCTGAAAGCATAAGGAGTTAATCACAGCTAAAGAAGTCCTTCAACCTCAACTAGGTTTCCTGGTTAAACATGAAAGCTGTCAGGCTTTTAATTTTCAATAACATTGGTAATAAGTGGCAATAATTAAGCTACTGCTTCTTTTGGTTAAGCATTAATATAACAAACGTAAGAGGTGTGTTGTACATTTGCTACCAAAATGGGTTCTTTTCGACTAAGAATCTAAAGTAGCTCTGATCATGTATCTATGAGATCATTCAGAAAGCAATTATTTATTTGGCATAATTCCATCGCTGTCCACTTAAGAGACCATTCAATCAGATTGGGTACCACCCAAATCTAAAGTCAACATGGGAATTGCTGTGTAGTTTAAAGTAATGCATCCAGTTTACTTAAGTAAAGCTAGTTCGGTTATGCCTATATTTAACTGACATCTAGCAAAAGCTTACATCAATGACATGCATACAAGTCACAACAGTAGAAGCATACTATTCAAATAATAATAAAAAATGCTCTTGCTACAGAATCCGGTTGTTAATTTCATATTTCTTGCACTTGAATTATACTATTATTGATATTCTGTATTTTGCATTAAATTGGGTATGTTCTTTCTTCTCTTTAAAACAAAGTTGAAAACTCAGAGGGTAACTAGGCATGCATACAATATCCCCAATATAAAATATTTTATTAAGTATGAAGGACAAATGTAAACACTTATTTGTCTATGCTTGGTTGTAAAATAGAGATCAAGCCAAGTTTCTATTGCCAGGAATTAGGGTTGATGGAAAGGATTTTTTTTTTCTTATATGAAAGGCTGGGTTAATGAAGATAGATGGTGAGATAGATGTCACAAAGCAGAAGGCTGCATGGCTAATTTTGGTGATGGACTGATCAAAACTCACCTTTTGCTCTGACCTCTGTTTTTGCCTGAGACTCCTTCTTTCCTTAAAGCCTTTTAGACTGTAGGCTTCAGGGCAAAGACAGGAGGTCATTTATTTTGTTATGTGTACCACACCCCATTTCTTCAGGTGAACTACAAATAATACCACACTAAGAAACTGTAATACAGCTTGGAAATTTTCTTATGTATTTTGACCCACATTTTTTGAAAAGAACTAAATGTAAAAATGTCCATGCCCTGAACCACAAAGCATTTTTGGAAAAAAATAATAATTTAAAACTTGCTTTGAAATAATAAAGGGCAAGAGATTTTTTAAAATATTTTTAAAGGGCTTTGTAGTTTGCACAAATGTCTTTTTGTTCATCAATATTGCTTACTTTTAAAAGTATTCCTGTAATGTATTGGGTGTGCCTGTACCTGTTTGTATATGCACAGATACATACATACATATATATATGAAAAAATTCTTAGGAGCTACTAAACAATATTTTTGTTCTTTCTTAATAAAAAGCATCATATTTACTCAATAACAAATAAAGGCAAATGGAAGGTATGTTGGCACTGAATTAGTACAGCCAGTTCCCTTATCTACAACCTTTATGACGTTCTGTTGATGAAAGTTGGAAAAGTAATTTTGTATTTTCCTCTTTGCATAGTTTGCCTAGTCTAATCTTACTTGGCCTTGGCAATGGGAACATACTCTACTTGTCCTTTACTAAACAATGTCTTATCAGAAAAGAAGAAACCTAGGGCTATTTCCCACATCTTTCCAATGCCTCTAAGATTTGGGTACCTGTGATGCTAAGTCTGCATTATTCCTTTGACTGCAAATTCTGAATGAATTGATTGGGGGGAAAAAATATGGGATTAAATTTACTGGAAAAGATTGCTGGATGAAAGTTAATCTCTTTGCTTTTGGATTGTACAAACCAAAATCTAATGCTAAAGTTTACAGTATCTGTAGAAAAAATCTAGGCGACTAACGCATTTGCCATCAAGAGCTAGGGGATCCAAAAATCTGGAGAGCATGTTTGTTTTACAATCTATAATATCACACTTACCTGAAAAGATTCTTTATTTTCTCTCCAAGGGGATAACTTCTACTTTTCCTGTCAAATTCTTCATCAAAGTAGTTGCTAGAATAAGCTGGACGGTTGATGATGTAGCGTGGCTGAGTTTCAATCATTTTTGCTTCATGAAATCTTTCACCCCAAAGTGAAATGGAAGTCAACTGGAGAAGGAAGTGAGCATCACCAAAAGATGTTAGTAAAATGGGTAGCTTTCTTCTCTTACCCTTATCTCCATTAACTTGGGTTTTAGATTTTCTTTTCCAAGCCCCACCCCTTGTCCTTGCCCTTTCTGCAGAAGCCAGGGATTGGGCCTCTCTTGAGAAATCACTGCCTTAAGGAAGGCCTCCTGGAATTTGAATGGTGTGGGAGGAAGAGCAGGTTCAAAAAACATACACATGGCCAAATGCTGAGCATCACAGTGATGATACTGCTGTGATGACACTGATGTTCTATTGTTAGTCTTGGGCCAGTCTCTCAGTTTCCTCTACCATGGTTTTATCATGAAGAAAATGGGATTAGTGTTTGCTGTACTCTTGTTTCATACATAAATTAGTAACTGCCAAAGTTTCTAAAGCAGTGCCTTGATGATTCTGGTTATATTCAGAGCAGCCATTCCAAGAACTTTAGTATGTATGTGAGCTTCCATTCAGTAAATATGCTTTGGAATGAAGGACAACACAGAAATGCAACAATTTGACCTATTTAAATGATAATAATGCCAATCAATCCAGCTCAACCAGTCCTGTGTCAGTATCAAGGTGTTACCAGTGGCACATAATAAATAAACTCCTTGAGGTATAGGCCTTAATATAAACAAAAGGATCAAAGGAGGGGGAAAGAACACTTTTGCATAATGATAAGCTGGAGTTGGAAGAGAAAATGTTCAAAAATAGAACAAGGATATAGGTGATTATTTTACTATTATGCTTAGGTATTTAAGTGTCTTGTAAATGGGCAAACAATTAAGAAAAGAATTATAAAGTAACTGGAGAAACAGTTCACATAGTTAAATTCAGAGAGCACTGAATTTAAGTCCTCAACTTAGCCACCATTTGAAGTTCTGATGGATCTACTTAGAAGATACCTACCACCCAGATTTGGTCTGATGGTTGCCCCACACATGGTCACATGAGTACACTTTAGGTGCTTGACAACTGAGCCACAGTTATTAGACATTGGGTTGGCAATGAAATCAGTCAGTCCATGTTAGGTCTACCACACAACTTTTTTTTCTTTTTGTCCTTCCTATCCAAGCAGGGAAGGCAATAATCAGTGTCTGCCTGTCTTTTTCTTTTAGGGATTGTTTCATCTTTACCAATTCATAGGTTTTACTCCATGGTTTATCTAACCTGAGTAGACACCAAATTGGTGCCCACAAAAGGCAAATATATGGATTGAAAGGAGAAATACACTTTTAAACAGGCTGGGAAAACATGGGACAAGGAATGTGCATTGTTGGATCATCCCACAAGATAATTAAAAATGGCAGCTGCTGAGCAGTGGATAACATAGGAACCTGGCACCCAACTGAAATGGTTGCACAGAGTAGTGATCAGAAGTTGGGTGGGAGAGATATGCTGGTTTCTGTAGCCAATCAGAGCTTTCATTAGATGAGAAGGCAGTGTGCAAGGACTTCACTTAAAAAGGTCTAACATTGCTTAGATCAGTGGTTCTCAATCTTTTTAGACTGGCGACCCCGGTCATAAGCAGGCGGCGCGCATGCGCGGTGGCGCCCCCTGCATGGCACGCATGCACGGCGCCGCCCCCTGTGTGGCATGCATGCGTGGCACCGCCCTCTGTGCGGCACGCATGCGCGGCACCGCCCCCTGTGCGGCACGCATGCACGGTGCCGTCCCTGCGTGGCATGCATGCACGACGACGCCCCCTGCGCCGCCCCCTGCATGGCGCGCATGCACAGCGCCGCCCCCTGCGCCGCCCCCTGCGCGGCGCGCATGCATGGCACCACCCCCTGCGCCGGCTGAGAAAAAAAATGGCGGATCGCGTTGTTTGGCGACCCCCGTGAAATGGTCGTTCGACCCCAAATGGGGTCGCGACCCACAGGTTGAGAATTGCTGGCTTAGATGGAAGATGGCAATTTTGAAGCAAAAAACAAGTTTCGAATTTGCAACAGGCTGTGAGTAGATGGAGAGTGACATCATATATTCTTTAAGCAGTAGAAGGTGGCCTTTAATGGCAATAAAGTTAGATAAACTCTTATTTTAAAGGTGATTATTTCTTTATTTCTAGGATATCAAGCTAAAATTCCTTGGTTCTGATAATTCAGTACAGGTAGACTTCCTTAACAAATGCCCTGTATAGCAACCATTCATCAATACATAACAAAATATAAAAAAATCACTATGAAATAGAATTGATCACAAAATGTCTGAAAAGGGTTGGAATAAAAATATTAACTAATGTCAATTTGATGTATAATTTTCAAATATCAGATCTTGATAGAAAAAAATTGGGGACATCTGCTTTACAAAATTGGACACTTGGATTTGATTCTGTCCAGTGACTAACTGGCAATACAAAATCTGAACATGGAAGGTTGTTGGAACTGAGAGTAGAGATCGCCTTGATCATTTTTGGAATGGGGAATTTGGGCTGCTTTCTGTTTTGTCAAACTTAAATCCTAAACATATTTAAACCCTTAATGAAAAGTAGACTCCATAGGACACAGGGGAACCTACTTATCTGAAGAAGCATTATTCAGTGCTGCATGACTCTCTTCAGCTGAGAACACCTATTTGTCTTTGCAAAACTTTGGGAGCACTCAAATGAAAGAATTCACCTTGTGACCCCTTTCAAAATTATTATTTTTTACTAGCTGCCAAGTATATTGAAGTTTCCAATATCTATTAGGTGTTCCTAACAAATGGCCTCCTGCATCCCACCCTGAGACTGCCTAGGGGAATGAGAGGATAAGAAAGGGGCAGAAAAGATTGCCAGGGGACAGACAAGTTTCTGCTAGAAGTTTCTGAAATGGCCAACTAATCATGCTGTCACTAAAGGAATTTAGCTCTTTGTCACTCATTTTGGAATTCACACTGAGTGATTTCTCATGAGATGGTAGCAAAGAGATGCCCATGGATTGGGTCCATCTCTTAGAGAATGATGCAAGAGATTCATGAAAATATCTAGAAGAAGTTGCATTTATTTATTTATTTTTGTCATATTTATATAACATATTTTGGAGGTGGTGACCCTTTGAGAGCTGTATGCAACAAAATTTCATGTTAATGTATGCCAATTATTGTACATTCAGAGTGAAAAATAAAGTTATTACTCTATTCTATTATTCTATTCTATTTGTAATGTAAGATAATGAACTGCAGAAGAGCACGCTGGTAAATCAAATGTGAGCAATAATCCTGTGTTTGAAAGACAATTCAAGCTGCTGATTTTTAATTATAAACTAGGATTTCTTTGAGTTTGCCAGATCTGCTTCAGTTCCTGGATGTTGAATATGATTTGGTAAAATTCTTGTGGAAGGATTATTCCCCTTGTATCATTTTCTTTTTATAAAACAATATTTTGAGATGGCTCTTTCTTTCCTATTCTTTATCTGATCACATTGTCAAGTTCAGCCACAACAATACATTCAGATCACTTTTTCATCTCTCCCCTCTGCCCCCCAGCCAACTCTTCAGAATTTCTCTAGAGGAACTAGGCTGATAGGTAGGCTGAAGCCTGATATATCGAAACTGCTTCCAGCATGAAACTAGCCAAATTCTTCTTCAGATTTGGAGAAAGGTGGAAGAACAATCTGAGAGAAGGATAACATTCTTCTCACCATTTCTTGGTATCACTTATCCCAAGATACAGTTTTTTGCCTTATGCATCATTTGTTTCTCACCGTAGGCTTGTGCAGAGTGGATTTGATTATGAAAGATCATTTGAAGTTAATGGGAGTGTAAATTTAACACCTGTCTTCAGTTCTTTAAAACCACCCAATCTTGCCCTAGGGCAGTGATGGCGAACCTTTTAGAGACCGAGTGCCCAAACTGTAACCCAAAATCCACTTATGTATCGTCGGGTGCCTGGTGGGTGTGGCCCATTGGCTGAGTGTGGCCAATTGGCTGGCGTGGCTGCAGTGGTAACAGCAGACTGGATGGGACTAAAAAGTTCAATCAATCAATTCCAACTTTGCGACATCTTTTTTTTTCCTTTGAGAAGTTGAAATTGATTGATTGAAACTTTTTTTTCCCCAGCACGACGGTGGAGGACTAAAGCAAAAAGGTTTTATAAAACCCAGCTGAAGGCCTAGGACTGGGGCGACGGTGCACGTGCCCACAGAGAGGGCTCGCTACCACGGCCCTAGGATCAAATGGCTGCCATCCACAGTTGCCATGCAATCCCAGGAAAAGATGTATTTGCTCTAAGCAGTTGCAGTTGGGCACTAAATTTGCTTCCATCACTTCCAGCACCTTTTTGGAACTGAATTGAAGCACTACACAACCCTAGTATTTTTGTTCTTTGCCTTTTTACTATTACAGTTGCAGCATTCCAAAAGATTCCAATAATTATAGGCAAATGGAATTTGATTGACACCCAGCCCTGTTTATCCTCATATTTGGTTCCTTGGGTTGTTTTCCATCAGAACCTAAATATTCCCTTTCCATGAACTTGCCACCTATCTGAAAGCCTGAGACTGGTATAAGGGACAATGATAATCTGATCATAAAATGAAGACAAATCTTGTGATCACTGCATCCAATTTTCTTCAGTATTCCTAATATTTCCAAATATTAATTCCCAATCATTCCTTTCTTGCCTGATTTGCTTTGTTTGCAACAATCCGTAGAACAGTGGAGTGCTGAATAAAAGTTGGCAACATTTTACAGAGATTCTAGAATCAGAATAGATTCTGATGGTCAGCTTGAATAAATAAAAATGTATCCCCAATTTTCTCTGGAGCGTATCTTGTTTTTTATTTCAGCTTCAGTGTCCTCTATCGCATGGTTCCTAATTCATTCTGAAATCTGTAAAGTTTCAACTTGTGTTTAATCTAGGGAAAGGCCATTGATAAGACTAACTCAAAACCTGACTCTTAGTGATGTTGACATCCTTGGCCTGTTTGTTTTAGGGGGAGTTTTAACCATGGGACTTTGTTATCTTTCTGTTGCTTGCCTTTCTTCCATTATTTCTGCTTTGT